TATAAATAAATATGATTGCTTTAACACATGCTGAGAGAATTCTATTTTTAAGTTATTACTCATTTAGGCAACCTTTCTGTCACTATCAGTCGCGGCTTAGATTGACCTATTACCGTATTTAAGAGATAGAACTTATATCTGACCCTATCTATCATCTACTAATTTGGAAATCTTATCTGAATGTAAAATTTTTATCAAAAAGAGAACAGAATCTTTTAATTTGAAACACCTTGACCATTCCACAAATTAATAGATACATACTTTAATAGATAATATGCAAGGTGAAGTTACTGATATTCGCTGATGTCTTTAGCTTTAAATTTGGTAATTGCTTACTTGTACATGAATATATTTAAAACCAACGCACTTGTGCTGCAGTAAATATAAAATAGATTCATCGGATAAATTCTAAACACCTTGTAATGTAACTTAGTATTGTGATTGTAGACTGTTAGCCATGTGTAGTATAATGTACGGTAGATATTTATCCTAAGAGATATTTGGTAGCTGTAACTATAGACTGTAGTGGTAGAGACTCTATGCTAGAGTACAGATGACTATATACAGTAAGCTGTTGAGTTACTAATATGGCTATAGGTAAAAATAGAACTATAAATCATATATTAGGATATGGTTAATTCATTGTACTTTGGCTGGTGTGAATAATGTCTACGTAAGTACTGTAGTCGTGTCCATATTGGATTAATGATGGTCCGCAGTAGAATAGTCTTACTAAGAATAATTTAACTATATGTAAAATAAGGTAAAAGGTTGCCATGCGGATTGTAGCTGCGAATGCTACGGAAAATATAAAAGCATGCAACTTTAGATTATTCTGTTAGTTCGTTCTAGAAGTCTTTAGTAGTAGTATTCGGCTAGAGTAGAGCTGTGTAGTTAATCTTTGTATAAGATTCAATAAAGCTTTTATTTTTCTAAAATTTGGAATTTCGTGATTGGTATATATCACACACCTATATAGCTTACGATCATAAGTTATGTTTGACGTTACAGAACCAAAGTTTATCCAATAAAATTTTAGCTCGTATAATTCGCATTTCAAAATCATCAACACAGATTGAATTTCTACTTCATTCTAAGCCTATTTGTGAGGCATAAACACATCTAAAAGTAATCTTAGCACGTGAAATCTAGTACATTAATTACTTTTAATGGTAACATCTGGATTGTATGTTAGTCATCGATTTATTGTTAAAATTAATAAATTCTAGAGTAAGCCATTGTTCTTAACTCTTAAGAAGTAAAGGGATAATTAATTACTAAAAATCTTGCGAACAGATATTAAGTAGCTGAAGTTTCAAAGTTTATGGATATAGTCAACCATAAATTCAGGAAATATAAACTGTAAAATATAAAATTCTGTTCCATACATCAATTAATTAGTTATAATGCTATTCTGTTATAGGTATCAGTTGTGGAGTAACAAATTGCACCTCTTTGGTGTAATAATTAAATTGTTACAACTCAAGGGCTAAATGCTATTTCATAATAGTAAGAGAAGATGAATTAATTAATTTTAAATATAAGCATGATATTAAAGTCAAACTGAATCTTATACAAGAAGGGTTACCGTATTGGATAGATTGCTATCGCTAGTTTTCAATCAAATATGAGCAAGACCAATTTGCAACTTTACGCTTTCAGTTCGTATAATGCTGCAAATTTAATTATTTTTCTTTCACTATAACTCTAAATTTCTTTAATCCCTACGTATTTGCTAACGCAACTGCTATGTTGTACGCATATGTAGTTATAAAGTGAGGTACTGATGAGATCTCTAATTTGAGGTTAACATAGTTTTTAAATTCACTAAAAAATTTATTTCACTGTTGATAAACCAATAGAGTTTTCTTAGTTTAAATAAAGAATTAATTATTCGCTTTCATATACTTGATGAAATTTTACGACATTGATTAAGATTAGCAACCGAATATTGATAAGATTCAATTTTCAACTAAATAAAGTGAAACAATATCATAATAAATTGCTTAAGGCTTTAATCTCTTAATTGTTCTATACTTTCCGGTTCTTTTTCTGGTATTGATAGTAACCATAAGCATAAATTTTTTAAATATATATAGCATTATATTATGAGTAGATAGCTTGAATTAAACATATACGGACATTAGAAGAAATTTTAAAAATTTTGATAACATCATGAGAAATAATGTAGTTTTAGTGTTGTGGAAAAACATCTTATCGTTGATAGCTAGTTATGAACCCTTATGATGGCGTTACTGCTAATAGCCATTCTTTTTCATTTAGGTATACTTTCGAGACCGCTGCAACTGCCAATCGTCATAAAAATCGTACATCCCCTTTTTTAATTAAATCAAATAATAATAATTGTTCGTTTTTGTTTGCTATATAATGAGATCTACCAGATAATTGATCATTGCTTTATCGATTAAGTTCGGTTTAAATTTATTCGGAGTTCCTCACCCATTGGAAAAGAATACTTATAAATTCTATATTGACGTACAATGTATTATTCTCCAATAACGGTTATTTGTTTGGGTACAAGCTAAATGTTCTTTTATTATATGATAATTAATTAATAGCTGTAAGAGATTGAATGTTTAAAAGTAGAATGATGAAATGATGTCGTAAATGATTAAATATAAGTTTAAATCAGAAGATTGATAATACAACGATTAATTTCTTACGTATAGAAGATCAAAGTATATAACTGAACTCAATCATTTGGGATTACCTTCGGTATAAAAGCCAATGACATCTACCGTATTTGAAGATATCATTTAAAATTAATGGGTATAAAATAATTATTGTATGTTAGCGTGATCACACAAAATAGTATTATTCATATCAGAATTAGGTTGAAATTGTATAGCGCCAGCAGCTTAGGAATCAAGGATAAAATGGTATAATATAGCAACTAATGCCTCAGTAAACTGAAAGAAAGAAATATTACTATTAGATAGTAATTAACAAGATTAATAATGATTATAATTACTATAGACATCAGAGAATTTAAAATTTCTTACCCGAGTTATCATCATTAAGATAAAGAGTAGATGTAGATTCTAGTCTATCATTTAAGCAAAAGTATGAAAGAATGACTTATGCCAAGAACATAATGAAGAAAGAACTTAACATAGAAACGACCATCGTTACTTGCTTTCGGAAGTTAAAGAATGAAGAAAAAATAGTGTTTAAGTCTTGACTACAGTATAAGTACTATTGCACTAAGTGCGTTACAATTGAATCAAATGAAGAAGTAATGACGAATAGAATTAGTTAAGAAACCGGAGGAAAGTCTTTTTGCCAGTTGTCTAGAAATTATCTGAAAGATCTTGGATCAGTTTTAACATTAAAATTTCTAGCTGGAATAAGCAAGAAAGTGATAAATGAATGCGATCTATAGCATTTCTTGATCCGAGAACGCTCAATCTAAATTTAATTTTAGGAATCAAATATATGCTATACTAGACGCTTCTTCTTTGATACAACAGACCAATTACGTTTTCAATTAACGCTTGGAATTGCACGCGACTGTATCAATTAGATGATCAATCTGAGAAGGTTAATAAAGTCCATCAGTCCATACCCTATACTGACTATGGCTATTGTTTTGTTATTTATTTCGTGTTTTCTCTGGTTCAATTTCTTATACAATTAAATTGGGTGATCATAATAATACATATAAGAGCTATGGAGTCGAAATGGAGAACGGTGCCAGTAGTCTCTTGCTTAATTATTTTGCTATGAATTGCAGCAGTATTAGGAAATATTTATCGTTCTCGGCGAAGAATAAGAATGAAAATTTTAGTGAATGTATGTAACTCTTAAATAATAATTGTAATCAGTGAGAATATACGAGGACAAGAATGACATCATAGAATTTTTTAAAGAATCTCTCAAATAAAGTCTATTGAAGCAATATCGAAACATTGACGTGAGAGTTTATCCAAAGAAGTATCGATATTCTTAAATTATATAAGAACCCATTAATAAGACGAGTTTAAAGTGGTATAGTGAAACTTATTGCAGACTTCATCATTAAAAGAAGTAATGATATGATCGCGAGATTCGTATGTAGAATTTAAATTACCAGTATTAAATGATATCCAAGGATTGGTATGGTCCAGGTAAAGAAATGTTGAAGTGAAATCGTTAGAATGATAGGAATGTACATTAAAAGAAGGAGCTTGAAGTAATCATTTTAGAAATAAAGTCGCACGATAGACTTGTAATGAAATTTCGTGTAATGTGGCCAAATTTATTAAAATTCGCAATTATAAGAAAGACTACTTTTCAGGTAAATTTAGTATTACTTAAGATTGTTTTTATTAAACTCTAACAAGAATTATATTAACGATAGAATCTACCGCAGAAAATGTATACGAATCCAATTTTCCGGTTTTATCAAAACTGCTCATTAAATCAATTAATTTGCGGATGAATTGGGGATTTTTTAATATAAAATAATCTTACTACAGTGTATGGTCCACATTTAGCCATCTAGTACGGTATTATATGAATATGTATCAGAGTGGAAGAAAGAGTTTTTCTGAAAGTTAAAATGCCTTTAAATGGAATTTACCGGTGAAAAAGCTATAAGTCTTTATTCAGATTGCATCAGTTTAGATTAGTGATAAGCATTATCAGTGATAATGTTGATATCAACATTTACTAAATGAGCTTACTACAGTATCCTTACTTTAAAATCGTTGCCAAACCCTTTATATGCACTGATATACTGAAGTAAATATGAACTCCTTCCATATTCTGGCTTGAAAAGTTCTTTATCTTTCATTTATTATTACAATGAATCTATTGTAGTTTTAATGATTTACCGCTATGCCTTAAACATGGGCACAAAATCGGGAGAGGCTTACTAACCTTAAATTAGCAGCAAATGGATATTTTTACCGCATTAGAAAGAAGGAAATAGTAGACTGCATAAATTCCGAGGTATATGGTTGCTAATTCCTTAAAGATTTGGCTGACTGTGATTAGAATTAATACGTAGGGTTAACTTTTCCTCTTGAAAATCGCACAGTAGACGCCAAATAAGCAGATGCTTTAGTATTAGTTGAATCTCCAATATTAGCATCATAACGTTGGCGGCGTAGTATACTAATAGTTAATCGTCGTTGCCCTTTCATTAAAGCTTGCTGAACTTCGTGTTTCAATGAACCAGTAAATAAGGTATAAAATATTGGATTCAAGGCTGTGTGAATGTAAGGTAATATTCGTAAACCAATTTGAATGGCTTCTTTAACTTTTGAAGGTAGCAATATCGATGATCGAATCATGTAATAGATACAGAAAGGTAACCAACATATCAAATAGAAACTAGTGATCAATACCACCTGATAATAAGCACGATTATTTTTACGTACAGTTGTGGTTAGTTGTTTTGCTGTCTTGCTGTAGCTAACAACGAGGTATAAAATCCACATATAGAGGGAGAGTGTAATAATACATGGTATAAAATACATAAATAAGAATAGTAACCACTGAACGGCTAAAATCCCACTTGGCGATTGATCGAGGATATACCAAACTTTGATCAGAAGGAATGAAGCAATAAAGGGGATTAACCATGCGATGATATTAATAGATACGATAATAGTAGTAGTCATAATTCGTTTATATTTTAATGGAATATAGACTCGCAGAAAGCGATGAACAGTTAGCATGGTGATTTGCCAATTAAATGCTCCTACAAATGCATTTTGCACTGCTAAGGCAGATAGCATATCTATTTTCAATTGGGCTATCAGAATTAGATGAATAATTCCTGTTCCAATACTGGAAGTAAATATATTGCTAATGAATGTAACTTCACGATTTCTTAATGTTTTGTGAAATAAAACAAAACTTAGGCCCAAAAAATTAATTGCAATAACTATTATAGCGATGATCAAGGTTATTGTATTTTCGATGGCTAAAACTTGAGCGGCAACAGACAGTGTCTCATCCAGTGTTTGATTGTTTTGCGAAGAATTAGTACTAGCCATGATAGATAAAGATGAGAATTAAAATGGATCCAAACCGAAAATCCTGCTTTTTAATGAAAAGCGGTAGATGAATAATATGATAAGTTCGTAAGGATATTCTTTATAATTACTTTGCAATTATAAAATCATCAAGACTACAACAAAATAGATTTCCAAATTCTATTCACCACCATCGAGTGCAGTTATTTCAAAAATGGTAAGTGAAGGTAACAGAGAGCAGTTAATTATGAGTAATCTTAATTTATCTCACTAAATAATATGAATTATTAAAAGTGAAAAGAGGTGTCTAGTTTAGTGTTAAATATCCAGATGCTGGAGCCTTTGTTTGAATAATTTTTTTGTAGTATACAATAATAACAGTTAGACACAAAGCAAGGCAAAAAGTTACATAATAAATTCGTGATTCAGTTATTTGATTTTAGAATTAGCTTAGTGATAATCAAGTGATCGCTTCCTTTCATTAATTTTCAATTTATTATACTATTATATATTTTATTGATCTAGTTTTTGACGTAAGGACTATGATATAACATTGTATCTTGCTACGATTTTATTAGCCCAGAAAATATAATTGTAGTCAAAGTACTGTAAATAATTATTCATGGTAGATATATTCGAACTTGACCGAGTATTTTAACTCCAGTGGATTACATTTACGAATCAATAAACCAACACAACATGTTGATGGCACCAATATCAGCCCACACACTACCGTCGAGAATATCCGCTATTTTGTTTATAAAATTAATCTTTAATTGTATATTGTTTCGTGCCCTTGATCCTCTTATACTATTCTGATAACCGGTAACCAAAATAATACTTTTCAATCACTGTGAATAAGATTAGCTTCAAATTTTTAATCCTAATATAGCCTAAGGATACAAAAAAATGATTATGAAATTGACTCATTTATTTGATGATCAGTTCTGTTGGCTAATTGTAACAAGGCTATATAGCAGAATATTGGGGGAAAAAAATAGCAATTGGATATATTTTATAATTTAAGTAAGAGTCATTCATACAAGCAGTATGAAGTTGACATATGTTGCAATAGATTTTTCTGCTCACTGTTATTAAGTTTCCTTAGCAAAATTATCAATGAGAAATATTCTTCTACATTGCTATCAACATTAATATCAGCACACTACGGCAGAAATAACTGCAATAGCCATGAAAGAAGTTGAATTAGATCATTATTTACCCAAGTATCTGCTATCAAAAACAAAAGATGGAAATTTTCGTAAAAATTGGTCGTATTCTGCTTTCTTCTTTATAGTATTACCTTACATAAAATTAGATTTATTTAGAGCACATTTATTAGTACGTATAGTTTATAGTGCTTTGATATATTCCAACTGTGATGTCCTACTATGTATTGTTATTATTTTTTTAGATTTATTAGTGTAAGTCTTTTGATAGGTTTACTAACTGAATTAGAATTATACTGCAATAAATGTAAGCTACCCTGCATTTTCAAGCCTTTTTGATCTTACTTTCTTGAATATACTATAACAAAATTATTACATCTAGTAACTATTATGAAACTTTTATAAGCACTTCATTATCTTGGAAATGTTGGTCTTTCGTATCTTATTGTTTTTAACTGCTAAGGGACAGCGAAAATTATTGCCCTTCTCGAATACGCTTATCCTAATGTATTTATTACCGATATTGAATAGTGCATGGAGGCTATTTTCGCCTTTAAATATTGGCAAATTTCTGTAATAATTTTCTGGGTTACCGTATACCACTTTAGAATGCTATCTACCTTTCATTACCTTTCATTTCCTTGGAAATTGTAGACTACTATGATAATTTTACTGCTGAATAGTATTTAAATTGCCGTTTTAGAAATATTGCGTTTTTACTCTATGTTTCTTTGTCGAGTATATTTTGCCTTGCCTTAAAGTTACTCACACTACATTAGTGAGTAAATTTTATCATACCTATATCTTCCGACTACAATTTTACGAAATTAATTATCTTGCGGAAGTGATCGTTTTATTCATCATATTTCCGTCCAGTTACGTTCTATTTACCAAGAAAATATGCACTATATTTTTTTGACATCGTTTATGTTATTTTTATGCTATACTTTATTTTTGGTATTATCTTGTGATTACTTTCGTGATTTTCAGGTCAGGTTGACCTTAGGATCTCGAGAAAACACACTCGTAAATCTAATTTAAGGATAGAATCTTGTAATTTTCGTCTAAATAAATATATAATTGCTTTCAATGTTCTCCTATAATGAATATTGTTGGTGAATAAAATCTCGTTGTTAGTAAAATTGGGTATTCTTGCTTACAGTTTTCTTATACGTATAAAGAATTGAATCCCTCCCTGTCTATGGTACGATATGTATCTCTATCAGGTATTGCACAAAGTCGGGAGTCAAAGTTCTACCTAATGATACTGACAGAGACTTTGCGATTACTACAAATGATACTTTAAAAGCTATTATGTTCAAATAGAATGATACGTTGAAATAGATTATTTATAAATTTAAATAGTTCTGCTTATTTATGAGCATTTAATTATGATGAAACCATAATATTTATTTTAAAGCTATCATTAATTAATTAATTACTATTGGTTTCCTAGCTACGACTACATTCACCTTTTGGATCAAATGGATAAAAACTTTGAATATACAAGATTCTACTGTAAGATATTAATATCCTACAAATCCAGTTTTGTTGCACTCATAAGAGGCTGATTTTGATATAATTTCCTAATGTTAGCAAGGGTAAATAACTGGAGCCATTAGGTAATCGTCAAATTATCATCTTTTCATAAATTATAGTTAAAGACTTAGAATAAATTCCGTAAAATTCAGACGATGTTTATATAAAACGTGTTTATTTACTGTCTACAGGAACTAAGGCTAATAACAATGTAAATTTTACTAGTAGAATTAGCTAGTCGTTATTACAACTATTAAGTACAATAATAATTTCTTTGCACGCTTCAATTTGATATTAATATACTAAAAATGAATTCGTACACAACGAAATTTTGTTTCAACTCTATTTCACATATATAAAGCGATACTGAGTTCTACTAGCCTTGAATTCTAACCTCGATTTTTTAATCTGAAATGATCCTTTGTAATATGTGAATAATTTTATAGTAAATTGAAATTTGCACCTTTACATACTATGCTCTGGGAGGGTAGAGCGGATTTTAAGGTTTCTTTAAACACGACATGGCACTAAAATGCGCAATAAAATGGCTTGATGTTGGAGTATTTCAATTCTAATGTAAACAAATATCAACTAATAAGACTAGTAAGTAATTAAGTCTATTCCATGTATTCGTAAGTACGATACGTACTGCATATGAATTTCTTAACTTTAATGGAGCCTACGTTAGCTTTGACAACGGAAGATCATTTACACAGGCTAGATCTATGTACAAATTTATTGGCCACTAAATTTCTTTGTTACTTCAATCATGATATAATCGCGCTATAGAAATGAGATTTGTAATATTTATTTTGCATTGCTATAATAGAAATGAATATGTTCAACCCTGCATCATCATACCGATGACATTACAATCTCCAGTACCTGTGATAGAAACAAATTTCAAATCAATGAGGCTTCCACATTTCTGTTACCTTCAGCAAGTTTTACGTATAAGAAACATATGTAATTATTAATAATAATGCTATATTTTATACGGACGAATAAGCCTAGGGTTAAGAACCTATACACTAAGCAGATCATTGATAATTTTCGCATGTCACAAACCGTTACCGATACTTACAGTATAAAATAATTAAAGAAATAATGTTAATAATGCAAATAAAGAATGTCAAACTCTTATGTTCTTGTAAGTAGCATTCAGAATCAAAAAAGTGATGGATATATTAAATTAATAAAGGTAATAGAACAGTGCAACGTAAATTAGTATTGAAATTGCAGACTATTAGCTATGTTTAGTATGATGTACGGTAGCGTGACTTTTTATATTTATCTTAATACATGGTTAGTAGCATGGCTGTGCAGTAGACTGCAAATGGAAGATTCTATGCTAGATTATAGATGAAAGTATACTGTACACTGTACAATAAGGGGTCGAGTTAATATTAAGGTTAGAAGTAAAAATAGATTTGTAAATCATATATTAGGATATACCTAGTTCATCGTACTCTGACTGGTAGAAATAATGTCGACGTGAATACAGTAGTAGTTTCTATATTGGATTAATGACAGTCCGCTATAAAATGTTGTTACTAATAATAATCTGAATATGTGTAAAATATGGTAGAATATTACTATGCTGATAATTATAGCAGTGAATGCTACGAAATGTATATAAGCTGACAATATAAACTTGGGATCTATGCCATTGCATGAAAATTTCCGAGCTTCAATAATAGTTGCGATTAGCGAAAGTAGATTGTCTTTCAAGATTTCATATATCATATTGGTAGTGTACGTAAATACAGAAATTTATGAAAGTATAAAATCTGTACAAAATCTCCTGCTTTTCAGTGAATGTTATAACTTGCTGTATTCTTATATATTCGATTCTTACAAACCGCTATTTTTGTTATAATAATTGTCTGAAGACATCCTTAGCTATTGCATGAACTATTCATAAAAGCGACAACTATAGCTATTATACATATAAAACTTTAGTAAGTTCAATCAATAAATTATTTGCAAAAATAGAGAGGTAACACTAAATTTGTAAGGTACAATAAAATAAAGTCATACTAGGATATTTCCTAAAGGTGGATCGATCTCAGATTTTATATCTAATTGGTGAAGATTTAAGCGAAATGATTAATATCAAAGTGAATTAGATATTATACTATTGATTAATTGACTGTTCTGTGAAGCGATTGATGATAAAGATTTTGAAGTTTGATTAATTAATAATAAAGGCCTGATAAAGGATGATGTAAATAGTAATCTAGGGTCAATTACTTTATGAATTAATGTCGAAAAGGTAGGAAATCAATTAATTAGCCTGTCTATGTATCTTCATTATGCTCTCTTAGCAGAACATAGAAGCACGTTTTATTCCATTTAAACATATTTAACTTTTAAAATACAACTTTATTCTTCTGTTTCAATAAAAATGGTTACTTTTAGTTTATGATACAAAAAGGTTCAATAGGAAGTATATTAGCCAAAATGCTTGGATCAATTAATCGATATTTAAAGCTAGCTAATTGTTAGGTAAGATATAACCGGAACTATACTGGCAATGATTTCATTGCACTTTTTCTACTGACTCTATTACAACAAATTATTTTAACTAATGTACTAATTTCGTTTATAGTGGATTTATCAGTTGCAAAATATCATCTTATTATAATTTACATCCACAATGCAAAGCGGAAATAAAGATTATAATTATTGATATAACATAATAAATTATGAGTGTATCCGTCAATTTAAGGAAGATTAACACTTTAGATAGAGCTCTAGACTTTAGTGAATGAGTTAAGTATTATTAGCGATCACAAATGTCTAGTTGTAGCAACGAACAATATTTAAAATTTCTGCTTGACAGCTTGTTACATGAGAGCATAGCCCGTCTTTAATATATTTGTTACACTGCCCAAGGTGAATAGCTTATCGTGAGAATTCGTTGTACAAGTATTTCAACTACAGGTGCACTAAACAGGTAATTTACGTAACACTGGTACATCGTATTCCGTTGTTGACAGGTGATATATTCGTACTACATGTTTTTAACTTGTCCTGCAATATTATCGAAATTATGTACTCAATCATTAAATAGGAAGGAGCTTATGCTCTCAGTCTTCATGAATATAGCCACAGTATCTGAAATACGAGACTAAAATTCATCCATGTTAACTTAGGTTAGTCATGAAATTTTATGATCGTTCCTACGTATACATTGGCATTAGAAATGACTTGTAAAGTTTAGGCCTTCAGTACTAAATCAGTTATTTATTACTGTCCTATTTCCGTTTCGTTTTAGTTAGTTATCCGCGTATGGAGTAATATTGAGATTTTGATATTTAGTTAAATCCCAAAGGATGCCAATGCCAATTTTACTACAGTATTCTGTTTTGCTGCAGAAAATACCGAACTGCTAAGATATTACTGATACGTATTCTCGTTTAATTAATTCTTTTTTTTGCCGTAAGAATGGACTTTTTTTTCTTATAGTTCATGCCGCAACTGCCCGTAAGTAATTTATGAGATAGGTCTACGAATGCAAGCAGCTACATGATGTTGTTGGAAATATGGAATAAATTTGTTACGCCATTTTATTTGCATTGTCGCGCTCAAAGAATAAATAAAAAAATATCGCCTAGTTGTTTTCGGTGTCAGACCAGCATGGCTAATTATAAAATAATTATACATGCTAGTATTATTGATTTACTCTATTATAATTATTATCATGAAACCGTTAGGAGTAACAGAAAAAAAATTTGGCTGTAACTTTAATAAATGAGAGTACTACGGTACTATCAAGTTTATGTGACGGTTGTCTTATAAAAGGTACGATACTGCAATTACATGTTAGCTTTATTGAAAAGAGGAATTCTTGCCTCAAAGAGATCACATATCATTTAAATCATTTGATGATAACAAGTCAGAAAAATAATGTCCAAATAGCTTGTTTAAATTGATAGCTGAACTTGGCTATAAGGTTGATCGAGACATACAGTAATAATTTTATAAATACGGCTACATCAATAAGTGGCCAAGGCTGTGTAAACCAGAAATTCGAAATTTAAAGCATCATATCAAAGAAATAATAATCGAAAAGTTAAGCGGACAACATTAAATACAGATAGGTGGACGCTATCAATTCACAGTGACTTCTGAGTCACATTAATGTTATTACTAGTACATACTCGTACAAGGTTCATCAGTCTGCCATTTTCTGTATAGTATTTGATATAATACAGGTCAGATAACATTCAACGATCAAACAATGCCTGAGTTTAAGACTAATTACTACAGATTTAATCGTGGTGTTTGCTCATTGTAGCAGTAACGAAAGAATGAGTCTTCAAGATATATAACATACTGCGAAATACTGTAGATAAAAAATATATTTATGTTAAACTGAACTGCATAATAAATAACGGATAAGCGTAACAGTCACCATTTATCACATACATAGAGGGACTTGCTTTATCGTCTACCACGCTACTATAACAACATCTGGGAGCTTCTGGTAAATATGGCAGTACCATTTCATCTTTTCGAGGTTCGGTAGATAATCCAGTTAAAACTTTCGCACAAACTAAAATGATATCTTTATCTGCGGGGTGAATATGATGATTGTACATCGCAACTTTAACGGCCTTCTTTGCAGTGACCGCAAAAGTAGTACCGAACGAATATTTAACTGCATGAGAATATCAAAAAGAAACTTATTACTGCCTTTAATCCAATTGTTAATACCATGCACTGTGTTGTATTTGTATATCAAACGATAATTTAAACTATGTATTATTCTCACCAGTGTCTGATCCAGTAAATTCTCTTTTAAATCCACTAATAATGATTCTTCGAGCACCTTCAACATTAGTAGCATAAAAGAGAATTCTTTCTATTGGCGACTTTTGTATATCTGAAAATCGGGCTACCAATGCAGATACATAACGTTTTTGAATGTCGTATTGTTCATATAGGATCTGATTTTCTACTTCAAAGAGGTTCACAACATCATACTCCAAATTACTAATAGTTGCAAGTAGCTTCTCGCCAATACTAGAGTCCGGTAAGATTGTATATATGCACGGTTCAGTTTTTATATCAGTAAATTCATTCACATCATCGGAGACTGTTCTATCTTTTATTGGCGTAGGAACTTTTAGCAAGTTCGCTTTTTTGATTGCATCTTCAGTGCCTGATGCTTCGCGGCTGTCTTCATGTGAAATGATATAATCTCGATAAGAAGCGTGTATACCATCCCGTAAATTATTACGATTACTACTATTGCCATAGTCTGCTGATGACATCAATGGTGGTAGCGTTCGGATCATATCACTTACGAGGGTCTGATCGTTTACTGTTATAACTAATCGTATGTCACGATAGGCATGGTGACGATGCCGGAATAAATATTCCGACAAAATTTTAAGTAAGCGTAAAGGTGCAACTTTGATGTCCATGAAATAGCTCCAGTTATTATCGATACGTATAGCAATAGATTTCAGATTGCAAACGTCTGCGTCTTCAAAACACTTTGCTATCTGGAAATTCAATTCCAGAAGCATTCGACTATGGCGATTTTCTTCAGCCATGTAATAGGTTGTGACGGGTATATGATAAATGTATTGACAGTGCAAACTGCTGCCGTCAGTTTTATAAAAGGAACCTTTTTTCAATTTGGATAATTCGTTTTGGTGTTTCTTACCATAACGCGTTTCATCAGATAAATTAATACGAGCTGTATCTTCCTCTAAATTATCTTCGTAATTTAAGATAATTATTCCGTCAACCTAAATAATTAATTTATGCGTTCCATCATAATTATAGCGTTAATTGAAGATTAATTTTGAAGGAAATGGAAAGTTATATTATGACAAAATTTCAGTTATAGCTTATTTAGCATTATTTGGCTACTGATTATAATAGTACAGTATAATATTGTAGCATACTTATACGTGAGAGCAGAACTTACCTTTTGATCTTTAACTTTACCAGAAAGAACACTTATTTGTACACCATTTACTATCTGACTGTATATTTCATTAGCATCACTGAGGTCAACTAATTTATGCGAGTGATCAGGTGAAGTCGGACAATTACTCAGCGAAATATTATCACTAAATTGACAATTTTTGTTATTCCTAATAGCTTTATCCGAGACAGAAGAAGCTAGTGAAGAAACTTCGGTAGTATTCTGAACGCTTGGGCTAGTGATCATGTCTTCTGTAATTAGCTGATCGGAGGTAAGAGGGTGATCATTTAAAATGATGCAACTTTTAAATGTTTTCAAAAACTCAGTATAAAATTCTTGCTGATAGATGATCCATCGGATTTCACGTAAAAAGTTGCTACCGCGCTTTTGCTCGCAATATGCTATAACCATTTGACTAAAAGCTTTAGCAACGGCAGTGACCGATAGACGTAAATTACCAGTGCCAATAGATGGTATGGCTATCGAAGACATTTTATAGGTATTGGCTAACAAGAGGCATTTGTATAGTTCATCAGCCATCGTCTAATGAAAGTTTTTACGGACATTAGCAGCTTGCAATTGTAGTTTGATGGGTTACATAGAAGTTTAAAAGTTACGCAATATTATGATTACAGCAAAGATCTTCCGAAACTGTAATAACTATGCCAGCTTAGGTCCTCTTACCTTTATTCTAGTTGCTTCATTCGGATGCGAGTAGTGAATGAATGGAATGAAATATACTGACTTGCATGGCAATGTTTCTCCTTTTACCATGTAGACAGATCCCCAGTGGAGATCATTTACTTTTTTTGCAGCCAGAGTAAATTGGGGTCCACCAAGATTACATAATTTCTTCAATAAAGCGCCACCCTCCATCTTGCTTGAGCACGAGCAAATGATGACATCCACCTTCGGTAAGAGTTGATGAATGGGCGTTCATATTTTAGTAGTTTATGGTTTCCATTTCAGAATAAAAGTAACAAAAATCTCTTTACGACAACTACGATTGTAACACAAACGACTATAGCAACACTACAGCTCTATTCCTACTCCAATTATTCAAGAATGAAATCAGAAGCCTTTCACTTAGCTAGCCTAGCTAGCTAGGAGATCCAGTAAAACAATCTTTCACGTTAAAGACTGGACAGTAACAATCATATAATTGCTTTATGGCTGCAAAGATTCACATTGAAGTAGTACAGTACTGATTGTGATTTATTATAATTAGCAGTGTCCAATTTATTCGTACTAGCGTTTAATAAATTATATTTACAGCGCTCCAAAAGCAATTGTTGTCAGGTAAGGCTAGATCTACATCATCAACGCAGGATTTATTCTAGTATACCTTCTGCTGGGTAAGATCTCCAAGTACAATTTGCACCTTTATGCCATTATAGACAATCGTATACATTGCCATCTTATTCTTTGTCACACGCTCGTTTGAATCAGTCTGAAAGATATGTAGAAATGAATGGATTAATTCATTTATTTCTCCTATCGGTAAGGATATTCGCTGTCGTAGATTACAAGAAGAGAGCAAATTGCTTATTCCAATACGTCGAAGACTGCAGTTGTGATTTCTCCTAGTAGGAGTTATTTCGTAGAATGTGATAAGCAAGAATGAATTTAAAATATTTTCATCGTCCGGCTCATGACTGGAATTAAGTGTTTTACCTGTTACTGTTTTAGCCAGATATCACAGTGAATTCGATGATGGAATTTATGATACTGTACAAGTGTACAGTCTGTTATCGCTTAATAAGCTAGGAAATTGACATTAATTAAAACATTGCAGTAAGTACATTAGGCCTAGTGTCTATGTACGCGTATGCTTCTGATTTCAGAATTAGCAATCGATTGAGTAGAATATTATTAATTAAAAAAGGGTTGTAAACATCCACTTCTCACTGTAGTGCAGAAGCAATACTGGTCGATGTCGATGGTGTGAGCTCGTATTGTGCAGTACTGTACGACTACTACAGTTAACTAGTATTACTTTATGCTGTACTACGTGGATCGATTAGCAGCATTAGCTTTTGATCTTCTTTATTTTTTTTGATTGATTTATTTATTTATTTATGCCATCTTTGATCACTTCATTTCTTTGGTATTTGTTCGATTAAAATTAATTCAATCATAAACAAAAATCTTATCGTAGATGAAAATTGTGATATGGTAGCTTGATCGATCACTTTTCTAGGAAAGTACCTGGTCAATCTTCATCGTAACGTTGATCAAGACTCAATCGATTTGCCATTTACCCATGAAGTGCGTGATGCTATTGGCAAGGACTAAGCAAGCACCTCCACATGATGGTGATAATTAATCGTCGGAAGCAAAGATTCCGTTTCTCCTATAGCACCGCACGAATGCCCGAAGTCTCTCTTCATCGGCAGTACATCAGATGGTTGCAGTTGCCATGGCGTTACTTTACTCCTATAGGTAGCAAGCTACAGTATTGTACTGCAAACATGCCTACAGTACTAACATGGTCTACGGTACTGTCGTGTACGCTACTACAGTACAGTACACTCACACACGAGTCACAAGTGAGTCGAGTCGTGTACAGTACGCTGTACTGTAGGTTTCCCCGCAAACTCGTAAATCTAGTCAAATCCTGTTAAGAAAGTACTGTAGAATGGGTAGCATAGTTTATTGAAACTTTTTGATTTTAAAGCTTAATATCTCGAAAAGTACAAAACCTACAGCTTTCAAGTTTTCAGATTATGATAGGTTATTGATTACTCTACATTTCGGTACATTTTTGGCAAATTACTGCTCTATTTAGCAATACTAATTTTAAATTTGTGCGCTGGGGTAATTTTTGGACACCCTGATGTATGCCATGGAGTGATGGAGAATTCCATTAAGTGATTGTAGGATAATAGTATTTAGTATTTAGTGCTGTAAGTCCATGACTGTACTATCACGGACTGTTCAGTACTAGAAGATCATGCAGTAGTAGTCTATGCTACGGTACTGTCAACTGGGCGTCAAAATGGAAATAGAAATTGATTCAGAGATGTACTGTACTGTACACTGTACAGTACAGTACAATAGAGGAAAGTTTCCTTTATAACGTACTACAGTGTACAGTACGGTAATCAAGGAATCTTGTACTGTACACTGTACAGTACAAGACCTGAGAAAGGTTCGGTTCGGTTCAAACCGTTATGATCTATATCACAGTACCGTACACACGGTATAGTGTACTACTGTATGATAGTACTGTCCATACTGTACAGTACACTAATAAGATTGAGTTGGCTTGAAGCTGACTCGTATCTCCAAGTTCAATCATCTCGTCCATGGATGCTCTATCAATTGGATAGAAAGTGATGTCATGGCGACCGATCACTTACCCATATTGCCTATCTCACGTAACTGGAACGAATGGTAGTATAATATTTTATCAGGGTACGTTAAATAATATGGAGGTATCGTAAAATTGGTTTATAAAATTGAATTGATGCATGCAAACTCTATGTTGTATTTCGAAAGAGAGCAAGCCGGTTGCAAAGTATCCAAATTCCAATAGCCAAATAATTCTGTTCGTGTTTTGTTCCTTCTAGCAGGAATGTTCTTTAGCTTGCTCTGTATTCTATGAATTCAAAAATACCGTAGTAATTCATCTTCATCTCTTGCTCGTTTGCAGTCTTGATGCTCCGTGATACGTCTTTGGATAATTTCTTATTGAACCAGATTGACCATGTAGGTCAAAGCTAGACGTAGTCCTTGTATCCAATAGATAGGAATAAGAACGATACTGAATTTTGCCTCATTGGGTTATCACTTTGATACGGTCGTAAGTGACAGCAAGTACAATAAATAGTTGTAAAGGTATATACCATACTCACCTTCGTACAGAGTCAAGATTTCTACAATGCCAGTAATCTGATCATGGATGCACGTTGATATACCTATAGTTAGTGAGACTAAAATGTTGTTTCTAGACTGTAATAAGCAAGAAGTAGATGGCGCAAGATTTCAGATTGTATTATTTCTGGCATTTTCAACTATTTCAAATACTAGACTTTAAATAGTTATGTAGAACGCTGATTTGATTGCAGTTATTATTGGCAATGATCAAAATTACAGTAGTGTACTACCGTAATAAAATCAATCACTACGATTAGCATACAATTAATTGCAACAACAACTGCAATTATAATTATGATACTGAGGAGAATACCATTCGATAACATATTAAGATTTTTCTTACCATTATTTGATAACGTCATCGAGCTACAGTAAAATTCGTATATCTCATGCGAGTATGGCAATTGCAGAGTACATAATATACCTCGGTAATAATTTAATTCGATTTCCTAACGTGTACATTAAACCAAACAATTTACTGTCTTTTATTCTACGGTAATAATAGTTATTTACCTCCTAAGTGGAAAGAATAAACGCATGATTAAATTTAGGATAGTCTCTAAAAGTTGATAATGTACTTTACAGTTAGATGAATTATAGCAGTACGCGCTGTAGAGACCTTAAAAATGGATTAGTTAGTGCAATGTAATAGTGGGTCCTATTTTAAGGTAGCCATTATTGATTAACATATCAATCTAAATCATCATAGCCGATAGCTTTTCCTTTTGCCTATAGGATCATTGGCTTTCTAGTTTCTTTTTCACATTACTGTAATGATGTTAATGAATTGCTTTGATTTGAAACACAGATAAAAAGTTTAAAGGTACTTTCCTATACGTACTGTACTGTAATATTGTATTTATTGATTAATTTATTGCTAATCCTGGTGTAACCAAGGCCTTTCTGCAAACGCTTCTCCTGACTTTAACATACGCGTATATTTCATTAAAGATGAGATTAATGAGCTACAACAATGTTTGTCCTAAAGTGATTTATTGGAAACTGTTTATAATGATAGGAGTTCGAATTTACTATTAAATCTTACCCTTTCTTACTTCCGATGTACTCGTACAGAATCTCCGTTTTCGGTCGTATGTACGTATTTACCTGTTGTTTTGAATTTCAGTAGCTAATGAACTTTCTTACTTTCACAAGATTTTCATAATCTGTAATGACACGATTTTGAACGTGTGAAAGATAAATTAATTTTAAGTAACCCCTAAAATTGATGAAGTACTGTATTACCGAGTACATCTTAGTAATAGTAAATACACATTAAAACAGAACCCTACCACTATTCTATTATGGTATTGTCGCTATTTTCATTTATTGTATGTACAGTATATAGACTGGCTGATTGAAATTCATGCAGTAGTTGATTTTTTTATTTATCAAGTTCATTAATCTCTTACTCCTGTAGTCCGCCATAACTTTTACTTTCACATTGAAGTCTGCTGTCTTATCTGATGAAAAAATCACCGTCGAATAAAGTTTTTCCTGGAGACGCTTTAGTCAACAATTATTTAACTGCTGATAAGGAAGCTGATGTACATGATAACTTTCGTGATAGTATGACTAATTCAAGCCTATATGCGACTACAACTTTACCAAGTGTGACCAGAAATCAAGCTGTATTCATTCAACATGGTAGCCACATGCAGGCTCTATTGGGCTTAAAAGATACTGAGAAGGCTACATTCTACTATAAAGAAAGTTGTAATCAACTAGAAGTAACTGCGATGAAAAAGGATCTAGGTGGTGTCCTTATACAGTTAAACGAAATTATTGGAAATATCAAACAAAAAGATCACCATTTACCCGAATTATTATGCTCCTACTTTCGTTCAGACTTAGCAAGAATTTATAAGTTTAATGATATATTAAGAAATAGTAATATTGATGCTGTGGGAACAATTTCTGAGGGAGAACGTTTCCATGTATTGTCCCTAACTTTGGAAGACTTAAGTAAGGCCTCGCAGTTACTATGCGATAAGTATTCTTCGGTATGTTTAGAAGTAAAAGGTAATATTTCGCATTCAGTCTATAGCAGCAATGTAACTGTAGAATTTGAACATTGCTATCGGATAAAGATAGAATTTGAACATTATAATGGAAATCCTGCAAATACAACTGATATAAAGATGGCTGGTTACATTGATGATATTTTGCATGCATCACAAAATATTTATGCATTGGTAGAGAAATTGAAGGGTAGCTGAAGTATAGATGAAAAAAGAAGGGTCATTACCTTTATCATACATTAATATTTAGAATGTCTTTTGCGCGTTTTAATAAAATTATACACTTTTAGTCATCTATCTGACTTAAATCCTTTTTCCTCTTATGTTTTCGTTAATATGATCATAAAACTCTGCTATAAATGAGCTGCTATTTAAAAAATTTTCTGTAGAATAGCTATTGTATATCCGTATAAAGATTTATATCTTGAGAGTTTCCGTTAGTTTTTCTTCGCTTGACTATGTTGAACCTTTAAATACTTTCCTCCGTCTACGACTACACCAAGGCAAAATTAAATTTATTACATAGCTATATATGGATAATCATCTAATATTTGATAGTAATGTAATCTGCACATATCGTAGAATATACTATCATTATAAAGCTGAAGTGAATGTTGTATGTAAAATTGACCAAAAAAATATCAAATTCTGAATTGTTGATTTCATTAAATTAAAATCGTAACTACAAGAATTCTAGATATCCAAGAATTAGATGCAGCGCCCGGAATAGGGGAATTGTGGCAACTTTTGTCGTAAAAAATATATTGGATAATCAATAGATAACATAGAGAATACATAGTATATAACAAACAGCACACTATACTACTTATTTCGAATTGATCATATCAAATCTTATTTTAAAACTTAGAGTAAACGTGTTTTATTTCGAATTGCTCTTTAATATTGTATTAGTTGCTGCTGTTTTACAGCCACCAACTTTTCGAAATTTAGCAATAAAGAATCCTATGGTATCCGACGCTAATTGATAAACTTTATCTTCATCGTTCATATCTTTCGAAAGTGTACAGGTAGAGTCTATAGCAGAAGAATATATATCAACCGAGGCTAGCAAATTATATGGTGCAATTTTAAAATTAACTTTTAAATTTCATTGAGTAAGTACATTCTGACCTAAAATACTCACCAGGTGATTCGTGGTATCGCAATATTGAATCTGCAATGTTGATAGGATCAAATCGTTGCAATGAATTAGCCTGATCTTTGTTTAACCCTTCAACTTGAATTCCAGGGCAACCAAGATAGGGACTCTATCAAGATAAAGACATAAAAAAATTCTTATTACATTTCTGCACCTTTAATGTAATTTATTATATGGCTGAATGACTGACCTGATTGCAAAGTTCCAGTTCAGGATAATTCGATAATGCCCAAGAAATATTTCTTTCATTTTCAGACAAGGTTAAAGTACACGTACAGTATACTAAAATGCCTCCAACTTTCAAAAGCTGGAATGCCTAAAATTTGAATTTGTATGCGATTGCGTACACTGACTGTTATTCTCAGACAGCAGAGATAGAATCAATCGCATTTGTTACCTGAGATAATAACTTCCGTTGATAACAAGAATAAGAACGCAGTTCTTTTGCTGACATTTTATAGGCTAAACAAGGCCTTTGCCCCATCCCGCTGCAGGGAGGGTCTAATAAGATACGATCGAAGCTTTCAAGTGCAAAGGGCGGACAACGTAGGCCTAAGTATAGAAAATTTTTAATATTTTAAGTATAAAAGTTTCCTTTTAAATTAAGCATGTAAAAAAAGGAAAAAACAGTTTTCGATCAAAATATTCAATGCACCGTTAAAGAGTTAATTACCTTCCTGACATTGACAGATATCGGCGACTGCTTTAGTACTATCGAACGCAAATACTTCAATGCAAGATAAATTTAATCTTTCTGCATTAGATTTAATTTTATGCAACTTTGATTTACTTTTATCCAAGGCTATAATAGTGCCCTATAAAATGATGTAAAAGGATGTATAGCGTAGTAAGACGGTAGTAGCAAACTACTTGAAAGTGGGCGTCAAAAGAGTTGATGCTGAAAGTTACCTTATTTTTCATTAACGTAGCGATATGAGTCGCTTTGCCTCCTGCGTAGAGAATTATAAATAAGAAATTTATAATTGAAAATTAATCGAAATTCGACGAAAGAAAATATCACGACTAGGTCATTGCTGTAAAGATATTAGCGTAATGTATGCGTATATTACTTTGCCTACCTGGGGCAGAACACATATCTAGAATAGTATCTCCTTCATGAGGATTAAGGACATGACTAGCAACGACAGATGGTAAGTTTTGCAAAAATACGAATTCATCCCCAATTCCGTTTAAAGCTGGAAATAGATAGAGGGGTTCCGAAACTTCTACAGCGATTCCTCTAATGCGTTCCAATCGCACATTATAAAATAAGATTACCTGTCTCAAAGCAAGTGTTCTTTCACTTTATTACGATAGTTACCTTGGCTTATTATTGCCTTTGAATAATTCTCGGCGACTAATCTTTGCTATGCCATTTCCGACAAATAATTTTTCCTCAGTAAACTTTGCGGTAGTACCATCGCGGCAGATATCATGAATATCTGCGTAAACTGAAACTGTATCACCTATTTGAATATCTGGGATAGATGTTGTGGCAATAGCTAATTAGCCAGCAGTTCGTGCAAAAATTTGAAATATCACTCACTTGGATCAGCTCCTCTAATTCCGATAGCAAAAACATTAGCTCCTCTTAAAACTGACATGCCACATTGAGATCCAACTATAACTTCCTTGCCAACTACAGTGATATCGTTATTAATCTGGGCAGGGATCATTAAGACATCAGGAATCACAGGGTGGCGAAGAATTTGTAAGTTAGCCAACTTACGTTCAGCTCGCTACATTTTAATCACATATACGAGCGCATTATATAAGAATACATATGTGTATGTGTTCGATCTCGCTTACTTCAATCTGATTCAATTTGATTTATTTAACTAATATCATGGATAAAATTGCAATTAGCGTACCTTTTCTATGATATCTCTTAACATTTTTTCTGCTTCATCAATAGTAAAATGTACCGTGTTCACCCTTAAAATTGTTAACAATGGAGGATATGCCAAAATTTTCTGTAGATGCTTGACTTTAGATTGTATTTGAAAAGCTTTGTGGTTCGTACTCTAAATTTTAGAGTAGAAGCAATAATCTTCAATATTACTTAAAGAAATTATAGATGGCTAGATTGTTATTAGTCAAATTAATAGATTTTAGTATTTATCGCAAGTGTTATTATTATTGCAGTTTTTTTTATTATATTATTAATAGTAAATGAAAGCCGTGCACTGTACTTGAGAGTGTACTTTTACTAGTATCTGGAATTCTGGATGGCTACAGGTACATCTTGTGCTTTAGTTTTAATTATACAGTAGGTATGTAATGGAAGCGCAAGTATAAAAAATCCTTCCACAACGTGCCACTTAATGTCCGATAGCAGATCATATCGTTCAATGTTTACGTTTTAAGCTTACCTTATTCTAATCTAACGTAAAAAGATTAGCTTTCGTACACAAATGCTACGTTAACCGAATTTACAGCACTGTACAGTGTACAGTGTACAATACAGCGACGTAGTATATTCGTTAAGATAGTATACAGTACAGTAGTACTGTATATCATCAATAGTATAGATAGTTATAAGACAATAGATTGCAAAGATATCATCTTTGCAATCGATAAACGGCGTATAAAAAAGGCGTTACATTGGTTTATAGACCTACAGTTGATCAAAGTTTCTTGTATTAATTCAAGCCGCGCAGGTAACAGCTTACTGCAGCATTTACCAATAAATGATAATACGGTATACAGCATGTAAAAAGTATTACTTTGTTTTAGATTTACATTGCCTAACCGTAATCAGCGTATAGTCTTGCATGAGGAGTTCCTTGACATCATCTGAGAATCGACAGTGCATCATTTGCTCAAGCTCAGCTCGCTCCAGCTTAGCCATCTCTGTGAATTCCCGATTCAAAGAAGGCTTAGTAAATTACTACAGTTCACCTTGCCGTACTGGCGTATACCATGTATTTCTAACGCCACAGTTCGATGTACTTTTGGACAATTTGCTGGATAATATCTAGTGCAATACACGTCCTCTTACAGTATGCTAAGAATTTGATTATGTTAGTTTAGAGTACAGCATACAGGGTAATAACAGCCTATAGTTTAGAAGATGAGCAGAATAAGCACTTGGATTAGCTAGAACTACAGTACTCTACATACTATAATTTGGATCGATAAAGTGAAGACTTATCCGATGCAAATCCATTCGCTCGCTAGTCTACCCCTTAAGTGAAGACTTTTCCTTTACGCTTGCAAGTTGCAACAATCAACGCTACTGCAGTACTCGTTCGCTGCATTTAGGATAGTCTAAAAGCCAAGAAATAAATTACTCGGGTACCCATTTACTCGGCGAACTGTACTCGTCCATTATTCCATAACTGCGCATGTACATTGTAAAGTACTCTACAATATGCAATATTCGATCCATTTTCATGTTCATATCGTATCAGCTCACTGCACTATAACGTAAGCTACTAAAAATTTATAATACTATCTATGACTATATTTTTATGTAAGGCTATTATATTTGTATAAGTTTATGCGATAGCATGGTTATACAGAATATGTGCTCTACTATCTGTACCTGGGTGATAACTAGTAAAACGTATTAATAACCATATATCATAACGCCAACTTAAAGATATCTTTGTGCTGAGTAACGAGCGTAAGCTACTAAAAATTAATAATATGCGATAGCATGGTTATACAGTATATGTGCTCTACTATCTGTACCTGGTGATAACTAGTAAAACATATTAATAATCATATATCATAACGCCAACTTAAAGACATCTTTCTGCTGAGTAAGGAGCGTAAGCTACTAAAAATTAATAATATACGATAGCGTGATTATACAGTATATGTGCTCTACTATCTGTACCTGGTGATAACTAGTAAAACATATTAATAATATATCATAACGCCAACTGAAAGATATCTTTGTACTGAGTAAGGAGCGTAAGCTACTAAAAATTAATAATATACGATAGCGTGATTATACAGTATATGTGCTCTACTATCTGTACCTGGGTGATAACTAGTAAAACATATTAATAATGTATCATAACGCCAACTTAAAGATATCTTTGCGCAGAATAATGAGCATATTAAGATGGTAAATAAATATAAATTAAAATAACTATAAACAACGGCAGTATTTCCATCGTGAGAATCATTACTGGTTCGTAATAAGAGGGCATTATACGTGTATTTGACTGCCAGATAAAAGAAATAAATAATGAATCTATATATATTTGTAGATATGCCTTCGCATCCCGGAGTAGATTATAAAAAGTTGCAACTTAAGATTTCTGTATTGACGCTGTACTCGATTAACATTGCAACATGAAGTAACGCAGGTACTGTTAAGTTCACACTTAATTCAATTTGTAGCGGATAACAAGGTCATAGAATACTTACCGCGGCAGCACTTTATATTGTTGTAATTACCGGTTATAAAGAAACAGAGTATGGATCTAATCTAGTAAAGAGATAATATTGCAATATAAATGGAAATTTGTGTTGAACGAAAGTACGCATATATATATATGCAATTATATACATTCGCTTTTAGTATGTTGCCAGTTAAATTATAACATCTACGATGCGTAACATGACTTCTATACAATGTCTCATAGCCTTCTTTTAAGACGACCAACTATCTGAATTATAATGGTAATTTCGTTATCTACCATTTAATGTAGCATTGCCACCATGACCATATGGCAATGGATTGTTGCGTACATAGTACAGCAGATACACGTGATCAAATAATGTTATGGAATGGCTTGCTAACGGACTATTACGTAGCTCTTACTAAAATAATTCCTCACTTTTAAAGAGTAGGAAACTGTAGACTGAAAGATTGAATCATTATAAATATAATATTGGCTCTTTCGTCTGCAAATTTCCACAAATCCCTATTTACTATTACGAATACGCGCACATCTATTTCCATTCTAGAGTACAGTATATTAGTTTAATGGTACTATAAACTCTCTAACTGGTTCAGTTGTCTCATTTTTGCTTCCCCAAAACAAGCTACTAACTGAAATTTTTTAAACTATATTGGTGTATATTATCAATACAGGATTAGGAACATTTCAGCTATTTTTATCGGCATTACTAGTCCGAATGTACATATATGCGTATATACTTAATATTTTAGTAAAATTCCTATAGGGTAAAAAAAGTTTGTCGTTATACAGTATATACTCAACTTCAGAAAAAGTATCTCTAAATAAGATCAAGAAACCTGCAGGGCAAATTCAACGGCAAAATGGACGGAGAGAAGCGGAAGAATTCATCGAAAGCGATTAAAGAGGAAAAGCAGAAGATCCTACTAGGAAGGAATGAGGAGCAGCAGAAAAATCTGTTAGAAAAGGAGAAAATGGAGAAACAGAAGAATTCATTAGAAAAGGGCGATGAAAAACGGGAAAATTCATCAGGATTAGAGAAAGATGAAAAGCATCAAAATTCGTTGGAAAAAGATGAAGAGAAACAGAAGAATCCATTAGAAATAGATGAAGAGCACAAGCAGAAGAATTCGTTCGACACAGACCAAGAGGAGAAACCAAAGAAACCACTAGTAATTGGTGAAGAAGAGAAGAAAAAGACTCCCTTAAATCAACCGAGCAATCTTGAAGATTCAACAGATAAGGAAGAAAACACTACCGAAGAAGCTGACAACCACTTTCTATCTCCACAGGCTTGCTCGGCTTATCTTAAGCTTTGTGCAACTATACTTTGGAAATTATATCCAAATAACATGTAAGTTATATTAAAAATAAATAAAAGCTTTGCTCAAGTCTTTCTTTTTATTCTAATTGTGCGCATGTTGCGGTATACCTTTTAAGTTTAACTAATTAGAAGGATTTTAAAAAAAATTGTTGAAGTTGTGTTATGATTGCTATAAATAATCTTGAAAGAATCTGGACGGTTTACTTTCGAATGTAGGACCTGGTGTAAAAATATCACTGCCGAGTTAAGTCAGCGTCTTAATATTTCGTCATCAGGTACGAGAGGAAACATTTTAAAATTACACCGAATGGATATTTACTAGCTTCTTTAGTATAGCTGTGACTTTCAATCATTAAATCTGTGAAAAATCACGCTGTTTTATTGACATTTCATTCTTTTGCATGCATGTAACTTACAGAAATAGATTCTATATATATGGCTTTAGAAAGTAAGGAGTCTACTGAACCAGAAGAGTCTTTGATCAAAACTTTGCAAGCTGATAATATCGTTAAAGACAACCTTGGGATAGTTATCCAGGTTTTAGCATATGCTATTTCATTCAATACGAGTCAAAAATCGGATACTAGTTTGATAGTTACGGCAACTTACTGAATGATTTCTCGTGAATAGCAATAATATGAAATTTGATCTATTGAAGATATTAGTAATCAATTTATCGTATCCTTTCTGCAGGATTTGATTGGATTTGGTTTGCAAACTGGTAAAGATTAAAGTTTTACCTTATTCCTTGACGTATTATTCTATGCCTATACTACACCCCTTTTATTTTTTTAGCATTTGTGACGATAATTAATAATTTGCATGCCTTTAAAATATATATTTCATACTTGATAGGACGTTACGATGCTAGATTTCGGGTTTTTGTTAGGCAGCTCTCTTGGACCTTTATGATTCCGTGGTTTGAGATTGAATTATTTGAAGAGAGTTGTTTGCAGAAAATTATAGAGTTTACTGAAGCAGAGTTAGTTGAAATAAGTGATATTTTTTAATGTTAATTAATTATGCTGACTGGAGTTGATAAGATTTGTGCAAAAATATACGCGTACAAGTGATTACTTTCAGTTATTTCTTTAGATAAGCTTGTAATATCCGCCTATTTAAAAGTATATTTTAGTATTTAACTGTAACTCGGTCACTCCTAGGGAAGAAGAAAAGCTGGAACTAAGAAATAAAGCATCCGGAAAGGCGAGAAAATATTGGATAATAGGAGTTGCAGGTGTCGGTGGAGGTTTTGCTATGGCATTAACAGGTGGTTTAGCTGCTCCGCTTATTGCAGCTGGTGGTGGAGCACTATTAGCGTCTGCAAGTGCGCCAGTAATCAGTCCAAACTTCGGTACTAGTTTACTGACTAAGTTATTTGGAATCCAAGAAAATCATTTAGCGTATTTTAAAACTGAAAGGCATTTTGGCCGTTCAAGTAATTGCGAATTTGACGTCTTAACTTCTGGACAGGAGTTACATTTCACAATTGCTATTTCTGGTTACTTGACTAGAAATTCTGATAGCGACTTCTACAAACAATGGTCGATGCTTTACCTCAGCAAAGAACAATATATCCTTAAATGGGAAAGACGTCATTTAGCTAATTTTGGTACGATCATTGAAGATATACTAAAAGAATTAGTTGTTGAGGAAGGATCAGGAATTTTACAGCAAACGGCTATACCGGGCCTTCATTCACTAATATCTTTGCCTGCACAACTTTCAAAAGCAGCTTATAAGCTAGAAAAACCCTGGAGTACTTGCGTCAAATATGCCAAAAAGGTTGGTAAACAATTAGCAACCGTCTTAATGAAAAGAATGGGAGGCTCGAGACCTGTTAGTCTGATTGGTTTCAGTCTTGGTGCAAGTGTTATATATTATTGCTTAGAAGAATTACAAAAACAGCCAAATAATAAAGGCATTATTGAGAGTGTTACATTGCTAGGAGCACCTATTGAACGAAATTCGGACGAATGGGAGCAAGTGGTAGATATAATTGCTGGAAAAATCATAAACGCCTACTGTAGCAATGATTGGATATTGCAAACAATTTTCAGAGCTACCACGAATCGAGCTAATATAGCGGGTCTATCGCCTATTGTATGTTCAAAAGGGAGAATTCTCAATGTTAATTTATCAGAACACGTTACGAATCATATGGATTATACTGTGAAAATGAAAGATATTTTAGAGTTGCTGAGAATACCAACTGCTGAGATCTACTACGAAAAGAAAGTTCGATTTCAACGTAACTTGATATTATTAAAAAATGCGACGACAGAAAATATAGAAAGACAAAAAAATGGAAGCGCTGCGAGTAAGCCTGAAAATGGCATTGAAAATCATGCTAGTGATCAATCGAAAGTAGTAATGACTACCTCTGCTGGTGATACAAACAGTCTACATGAAGCTAAAGAAGATAAGTTAAATAATTCTCATAACCAATTAGATATTGAAATAGAAGAAAATGATAAGAATCCAAATCCAGAAGGTAATATCCGTACTGTTGCTGACAATGAAATACATACTGACACAAAATCAGCTAATCAAGAGAGTAATACAGTCACTAGACTTGATGAGACACAGGAAATAACACTATCCTCAACTATCGAAGGTCCTGCATCAATAAGCGATGAATCTAATAATCGCAAGAAAGATTTTATTCAGGAAAGTGCTGCTACAGCTATTCATAATTCCGGGTCTATAGCAGAAACCCTGCCTAGCAATGTTACCGAACATAGCAATAAAGAATAGCAGTATAATCGAATGAAGCAGTTTTATTTAATAGCATAATCTATCTGTCACCAGCTACGCGAATCATCATGCTACTTTTACTAGCGAGGAAATATTAAGAATAATCCGGGGGTACCGTAGTCTAAAGCTATAAAGAATGATGGCCCGTGCTGGTTGTATGATAGCAATAGAAGACATATTTAAGCGCCTCAGAGTCCAGTATTTTGATACTTTAATGAGATCAACGGCTATTACTCATCCAGGACCAGTAACTTTTGTATCTAAATAACCTGACCTAAGTATTTGTAACTTAATTTCATTTCATACATGCAGTTAGAAATACTCGAGTCTTGAGTGATAATAGCAGATCAAAAGTAAAGTTAAAGATAATCCACTGAGGTACATGATCGCCATAATTTCTTGCAACATGAAGCTAGAAGCTGTCATAGAATCGAATAAAAATCTTTAGTAAATGCATAAGGCAAACCCCATGTTGCAAAGCCATTGTACCTTAGTGCATAATTTGATGGCGATATTGTCTGATTGTATCATTTATTTATTATTTATCGTCGTTTGTAATAATTAACAGCTAATTTTTTATCTAGTCGGTATCTCCCAGTTGCTTAGCAATTGAGATGTACAAGTGTGTAACTTTCAAAATGCTTCGCTCTATCGTATATTATAATTATACTAACTATTATTTTGGCTTACCGTGAATTGGAATATTGTCCTTTCTATATTAAGATTATCTAATTTATTATGGAATAAATGCGCATTTACAAGGTGTGGTACTGCGGTAAATTAATCAAGAGCTTACGTATCACGACGATTTTGCCAAGATGTTTCTCGCAAAGGCTTCCTTTCCGTGAACTTCATTTCTCTGAAAAATAGAACAAAAATTGCTGTAAAGCTGCGATTAGATTGAACTATTTAAAGATTCTCAAGTTAAATAAATTAAATAATACGAAGTTGTTGACTCATCGGTATAATCCTTTTTGATGGTGTAATACGCGTACACCATTGCAAATTATTCTTGCAATGTACAACTGCTAATGAAATCGAAAATTTTCTCATAAAATGATAGGATGCAACTGTAACATGAGTCACCGTCACTGTGTATCTGTATCTGAGTTAAAGTTACGTACGAATAATGCGTATTTCCTCCATTTTGATATCTGCATAATTTTAACCTTCTAAAATGGAAACTATAGCTGATGTCTTATACGATCTACGTATGTGGTCTATTCCAAGTCCGTGGTCAAGAGTATTTACAGTAGAGTACCATAAAGCATATACCGTTATTTTTAGTGACTTATTTGACTTTTGAGGGTTGTGTGTCAAATTGATTCTGTACAGCCAGTATATACAATATAGGTGTCATGGACTACTTCCTGACAAGTTTACTAGTCTAACGTAAGGCACTTTGAGTTTCTTCTACAGATTACTGCCCTCATCTTCCGAAAGATCTAGTAAGAATATGAAGCAACCGTCTCTCTCATCTACAGACAGTATACTGTAAAGACATACTTCAAATTGATTCTGTGCAGCCAATATATAGGTGCCATGGACTACTTCCTGACAAGTTTACTAGTCTAAGGTAAAGCACTTTGAGTTTCCTCTACAGATTACTACCCTCAACTTCCGAAAGATCTAGTAGGAATATGAAGCAACCGTCTCTCTCATCTACAGATAGCATACTGCAAAGACATACGTCAAATTGATTCTGTGCAGCCAATATATAGGTGTCATGGACTACTTCCTGACAAGTTTACTAGTCTAAGGTAAAGCACTTTGAGTTTCTTCTACAGATTACTACCCTCATCTTCCGAAAGATCTACTGTACTGTACAGTAGTAAGAATATGAAGCAACAGCCTCTCTCGTCTACAGACAGCATACTGGAAAGACATTTTGTGCAGTACAGTACGTACTGTACAAAACCCGCATTTTTTTCTTAGTACTGTAACAATCGGCGTACTTGAATTAATAATTACTTAGAAATTCGACATTGTACGCAAATTATAACGACGGATTCGCGTTATTGGATTTATGCTCTATGGTTTGACATACAATTGGTTAAACTTCTGTACATTTTTTAAATTTTACTTTAGTTTAAATACATAAAAATTTCTCAGACACTTTGTACTGTACTGACAGTGTACAGTGTACAGTACTGTACTGTACAGTACAACACAGTAAAGCTATGCCTCACTCTCTACAGTACATTACTATCAACTGACTCAAGCCATTTATCACAGTTGATTTCTAACTCGGTATATGACTAAAACTCTTTCAAGAAGAACGAATCCGCTATTGCAAAAGTAATTGTAGGCTCGACAACTTGTTCATTGATGAATGAAATTGAGCCAAATTGATATCTATTGGCTGAGATTTAGCTTAGGTGTATGTAGATTATCGTTATATAAAAATGGCTTTACCAATGGAAATTGTCATGCTTGCATGCTGTCTATTTTCCGTCTCCTTTGCTGTGCTGCTAATGATGAATTCGGCTCACTCCATGTCCTATATGGACGAAATCTTTCATATACCTCAGGCACAACGTTATTGCCGGTATAACTTCCATGAATGGGATTCAATGATTACCACATTACCGGGGATGTATTTGGCTTCATTTCTAATCGCTAGAGTAACCGTATGGATTAATTATCTAGCCATGGGTAGCATCGACTTTTGCTCTGTATTATGGCTTCGATTTCATAACCTAATATATGCAACAGGCAATTTTATCGTCATGTATAAACTGCTGGAAAAATTCCATTGCCCACTCAAGGTAGGCAGTGAAAAGAAGCGAATGATATTGCTATCCAACTACAGTACATGGTTGGAATGGATGCATTAATTTATTGCTACAGACGATAATTAGTTCAATGGCTTTCAACAACTTATCATTTTACTTCTACATATTGATGCAATGAGTAGAGTCTAGTACACAAATACATGATATCGTTTGTTCTCCCTATAGTTGTTATCAAAAAATTGATCTTGCGTTCTCAAATTTGCTATCATCTATTTTGCTTGCAACCAAGAATTTACGGTACTTTAACAGTGCTAGCTCATCTCCAGATTAAAACTGAGATAATGCACGGATCATTAATAACACACCGCTTTAATTAACAAAGTTTTAACCTTGGATAAATTACGGTACTCAAAAATATCAAGTTTATCAGAGTAGAAACTACTACTGGAAATTACTTTATTACTTTCACAGTATACTACGTAACACGTACATATGTGATACGATTTTAACTACTACATCGCTACGAATACAGAATATTGTTGACTTACAGATCATAATAATTACTGTACTGTAATGACAAAAATTATGCATCGTTAAATCAATGGAGTATACTGCACGTACATACTGTACAGGTAAGATACCCTTTCGCTAAGCAATATACTGTAGACTGCCTTTAATCTTTCAAAGTACTGTATAGTAGGTAAGTTACAGTACTTGGTGCATGCCAATGGTTCATATCGTCATCAAGCCGCAATTATTTCCCTTCTTAATATGCGCCTACGTACAACTATCACATAGCCTAATAGAGATATGTACTACTGCAGTGATGATCACAATTAACAATATTATGCAGGAAAGTTCGCGCTAATTGCCTTGCTTACGGATTGACTTATTTTAGAATCCCAAAGATAGAAGAAATGCCCAACTAGAAGCTGAAAGAGATATGATACGAATAAACTCTGGCGTAACTGCATTTATTATATCTGGCTTTCCTCTGCTCTATTTTTTCACCTTTTTATACTATACCGATCAAGGATCTACGTTTTTTACCTTACTGTGTTACCTGTTCTCATTGAATATGTACCATAAGACTGCTGCTTTTATTGGTATCATTGCAATTCTCTTTCGTCAAACCAATGTTATTTGGGTAATGTTTGCCGCCGGTGTTTCTATAGCTCAAATCTATGATGCATCATTCAAAGTATCAGCAGTGCAAGAAAAGTTAGCACTGTCTAAAGACTACCGCACCTACTATGATGTATTCATTTTAATCACTAAAAGGCAATTTCGCAAGATTATCTCCATTTCTTGGCCTTATATAATAGTGATTTTGGCGTTTATTATTTTTGTCATAGTCAATGGAGGTATAGTTGTTGGCGATAGAAATAACCATCAACCGGCCCTGCACATACCCCAGTTGTGGTATTTCCTGTCCTTTAGTCTATTTTTCGCTGCACCACATCTTTGTCGACCTTCCTATGTTTTTTCCTTCTTCAATGATGCTTTGGAGTATTGGTATCTTACACTTAGCGGAGTTGTCGTCATGGCATTTTCTGTTTACAAGTTCACTTTTGTGCATACGTATTTACTAGCTGATAATCGGCATTATACATTTTATGTTTGGAGAAGATTGTATAATGCACATCCATCTATTCCATATCTAATTATACCCATGCATTTGTATACTATTTATATTGTCTATAAAACACTTGCGGAAAAACGATCCAATCTCTGGATAGCTATCTTTACTGTTGCTGTAACTTTGGTAACAATCCCTCAACGTTTACTTGAATTTAGATACTTTATTCTTCCTTATATAATAATGAGGTTAAATTTTCCATTAATGCCGTATCCGTTCTTGTTATTGGAGATTTTTATATACTTTGCTATAAATTACTTGACCATTTTTAATTTTATTAGTTCACCATTTGTTTGGTTAAAAAGTGGTGAAATTCAAAGATTTATGTGGTAAAATATCTGTACTTATAATTATGTTACTGTTCTGTCACGCTGGTTACAACTGCAGATTCTTCTATCTGTTTAAATGACGATGGTTATTTCTCAGCAGCGCGATTATAAACAAAATTATCTTACTTTCTGCTTATTCCTTTAAATGACAAATTTTTTATCATTGATATCTTTATATTTTTATAAGTATTCGTGCAAATTTTTATTGATAACAATAGTTAAGGCACTATTTATATATTTAAAATGGTAATAAAATAATTTGCCTTGAAATCGTAGCGTCATAGAAAGTTAACATAGGAAATATGTAAGAAGTAATCATGGCGCAGTTTTATAACCTATATAAACAGAGTTTCAACATTACGATAGGTGTGCTGATAAAGCAGATAATTGAATTGACAAACTTTAAACTTGAATTTAGGCGGTAAGACGTAGACTTAGGTCTTTTTCGATTAAAGAGATAAATTATACAGGAAGCCATGATAGCAAAATCAACTGCAACTGATAATTCACTACGTGTTAAAGCATGCCGAGTAATTACAGCTTGTATTCAAAGTATGGACTCTTCTGTTTAGTCAATGGGAGAACGAAATCTTGATGTATAAAGTAATCATTGTCATATCATTTCATTGCTCTGTCTTTAGTTGATGTTCAAAATGAATTACAGGGAAACGCCATCACATGATATTTCATGTCGATGTAATTTTCACCACAAAAGAATAGCTGAACTCATTTTTAGCAAAACTTCCTTTCTAACTGGAGAAGCCTATCTAGTTTCGGGCTGACATCCGTTCATTCGTTAAGCCTTTCTGAGCCAGCGCAAGTCGATACTCTCGTAAATGTATCGTTATGCTTGTGTACCTTCACACAATTAAAGATATCGACTTCTTCAGCTTAAATCACTAAGTATCATAAATGCAATGAACATTCATGACGTTGGTACTACTTTACCAAGTCAGTATTTCCTAAACATTGCCTAATTCTATATTTGTAACATTAGTCCTGTTACAGTAAGTATTGGTGATTTCTTATCATTTTGACTGAAAGTTCAAATATCTATGATCTGGCTAAAATCCAATCCTAGCCATTTATCACGGTGTAAATACACCATGAATTGTGATACAGATTAAGTATTTGTGTCGTAGTAGATTTCTGCCAATATAGGTTAGTTTCAGTAAACTTTTGTAATTGACTTATAATTGCGAAAGTTACTCGTCAGTGCAACAGCACTACGTTGCCTAAATTATGAGTTTAAGAAAGTATTGTTGCTCACAGTGTTTCAGTGTTATATTAACTGGTTGTGAGCCTTTATGAAGAATAATTCTTATGCGCTATAGCAGCAGTACTGTATTCTTACTAGTTCTTTCAATAGATTAGGGTAGTAATCTGTACAAGCAACTCAAAGTAAGTGCTTTACGTTAAACTAGTAAACTTGTCAGGAAGTAGTCCGTGATAATTAGTAACTGATTTAGTAGTTCTCGCAACTAAAATAGCGTTGATCATATTAGGTAGAATAAAATAGAAGTAGCTCGATGTTACGAATTTTATCTATGTGACTGTAGTCTAGCATGGTATTCTAGGCCGAAACTAGAATAGTAGCTGACAGTGGCAACTTAGAAGAGCAAAATACTTTAGTTTATTCTTTATCAGGAGAGTAATCCTTCACACCATTATGCATAATGGCCGGTTAAAATCCGAATTAAGATCAAAACTATTAGAGTTTCGGTCTTTAGCCGGCTATGCCAGTGTTTTAAGTATATTGTTTATCATATTAATGGATTTTATTGCCCTACGGAAGTGTTTAGTAGTATGACTGGAAAGGATTAAATAAAAGTTTGTTTTCTTTCTCTTTTGCAAACAATCTTCCATAAACTATCTATACTCTTAATTCGGATTTTAGCTGGCTAGTATAAATAATACTTGCAATATATGATATATCGTTGTATATCCTGATTCAAATTCCACCAGAAATGAATTAACAGTAAGCACTACAGCCAATAATTAAATCGTTAGATTAAGTATAATAACAGTGGGTGTGACTTTACTTTAAGTAAGCGATAAATTTAAAGATAACTCGTGATTTCAATACTATAAAAGTAATGTGCAGTAAGTCAGAGCTCGGCTTAAGTCAATGGATCATTAAACAACTAAGAAAATTGGCATGCAATTTAATGAGCGCTAGATCGGACGCCAGTTAAAAATAATAGGTGATTGCTAAGCAACTTAATCATAAGCCTATTGTTTTCATTTAGATAAGGGACAAAGAAAACTTTAACTTCCTGCTAGGTCCAATAGATAACTATGAAATTACTTAGAGATACTGTTGTACACTACGGGTATAGACAATAAAGGCATCAAATTGCTAAAGTTCCTATTAAGCTTATTGCGAGTCACGCTTACTACGCAGAAATAACGTAGTAACTGTTGTAACTTTGGCTAATACTAAAAGTGGCACTACGCTTTCTAATCGATAAATGAACAGATGCTAATTTAGTAGACTTCAACCAACGATCATGGTGATCTAAATTTTAAAATTGGTGTCTTGATCAAGCAAAATTAGTCAATCTCATTGTTTATTGGATCATTTAATCAGTTTAATTACGTAATCAAGTGGCTCGAATATTATAAATTTGATAGCCTAATTATTTTTTTGAATTATCTTTTATTACACCCTGACGTCGATATCCTCATCCATATCTGGCGCAATAAAATAAAGTAATAGCTTGGCCAAGATAACATGAATTATTCACCACAGCATCATCCTAACCGATTTGTCAATAGCATCTCTTGTCGAAAATGTGGCAGACCTTGTTCCGGCGAAACTTTGAAAGTTGCCAATGATTTTTTTCACTCCAAGTGTTTTACATGTAAAGGTTAGTTATAGTTAAAATTCTGAGATGACGATAACAATATCGCTCCATTAAATGCTAATTAATCGTCAAAAAAAAGTTACTACTAGTTATTTAATCGCGGTCATTTTTTATTAATAACAAAAGTATATTTTCTTAAAGAAATGAAACAATTTTCGTAAATTTGCCTCTACATGATGGATTCTAACAAAAAATGCACTTCGCATTCTACAAGATAGCATCTTATCAAAACTGCCAATAAATGCAGCTGCATATATTGAATATTTCAGAAAGTTATTTTAATTGCACCTAAATAGAAATACGTTCGATTTTAGTTAATAATTTTGATTTCAATTTTGTTGATCGTAATACTGAGTGCTAAGCAGTCACCGTTTTGCTTTTCAAAAGTTTACCAGGTAAGATCCCTATTAGCTTTGTAAGCAAGCGAATGAGAGATCCTGTTAATTCGTTCGATTGCTGTGTTGCAATGATTGCAATCATCAAATTTCCAATCAATGCCATAAAACAAGACCTTTTCTAATTTATAGACTCCAGTAAACATACGAATGACACGATTAATTTACCGTAGTAATTTCACTACTGTAATTAAAATTTTTAGACTATAAATGTAACGCAAATGGGCAGCCCATCGGAAATCACCAACTGCAGTAAAATCAAACACGATCGCTTCTAACATTGTAAACTTGTAAATAAGATACAATAAAAGTACGTTCCAAAATTGCAATCTTTAAACATAAATATGCACCAGTCTCATTTTCATAATTTACGAAACTTCCTTACTGTTTACGCAGAAATAATCAACAAGGGAGTAAAAATGATGAAAAATCAATGTTGAAGTTACTAAGAAAATTTTGTATGTACACCCATTATGCTATAAGAACCTCGATAGAATAGATCAGCCTGTATAGCTGTTTATATCTTCTGTCAGACGATTACGTACATATTGAAATATTCACAATTATATTAATGATTGTTGATTACTTGTAGTCCTAATCGTGGACTACAATTAACACACTACATCATTTTTTCCTTCATTTCTACAAACTTATATGGTCAAACATACACATTAGTTTTTGTTTTATTGAATTAAAGATTACATTGATAGTTTACTACCTCAATAATTTCTAATGAAGGCAAATTCTGCATATCTGGTAATAAGTTATTATAATGTAAGCAGCGAACTTGAAATAATATAGTTAGCATTCAGCTTAGTCTAGTTATCTATTTATCAGAAAGAATACTGACGTATGTTGAAAAGTAAGGTAATAAAACCCTGTAATTAAGGATATCGCTACACTTTAGCTAAATTCGAGGCGAAATACATCTACTTAATGGTAAATAGTCAAAATTTATCCGTGAAGTGCTTCCATTTTTTATCAAGAAGATGAATTACAATAGCAGCAGTCAAAACATTAATTTTGCTGCTCCGTAGAAGCAGCCATGCTTGAATTCCAATAAAGGGCTTCATAAGTTTGAATATTAATCTTCGTAGAAATGTTAGAAAGAGTAATTTAACTTGGTATATCCGCTTATTAAGCAAGTAACAGTTTTCTGGTAGGAATAGAAAAAAGATAATGGACATAAAGCAGGTCACAGTTCTGCAGTGTTAGTGGTCATCTTGACATGAAGAATTTATTTGTCGGTTAATGCCAAGTTGGTCATTACAATAGCTGTCAAATATCATTGTCAAATATCATTGTCGCTTCTCTATACCAGTTTCGCCATTTTGATACCCCTATTTCAAGTATTATTGTCACTAATCGCTTCGTGATGGCCCGCAGCAATTTTTTCTTTACGTGTTTAGTAATGCGCTAGGATAAGAATTAGAATAAGCATTTATCAACACAGTTTACGTCATAGGTAGTGGCTATTTGATCCAATATAGAGCAAATTAAAATCCTAGATTCAAACAAGCAATATTATTATAAAGGATACTATCTTCAATATAGCTAGCATTGTGGATTAGTTCATCAGATTGATAGAGTTAATGCTAATGCTAGAATAAAAAGTTTCCTTTTTATTTTTAATAAGATTCGGATAGACACAGAGAAGAATATAACAATCTACATAAGCTAATGTAGGTTTTAATCGAGCTCGAGTAAATTTATTTGCCTTAGTTTATTAGCTTTGATTCATTAATTGAAAGCAAATTAGACTAGGAGTACATTTTCATATTTCACTGTTTTGCTGTCCCAAAAAAACTTGTAACAAGGGAAACCTATATCAGAAATCCAGAAAATACTAGATTTCTACTATTTTTATATAGTCTACAACAGACTACCAGCGACTACACCGAACCTAGGTTAAACTACTTTTTATCAAATACGTCGCGACTACTAAGGCCAACACAGTTACATTAACTGACAGCATTCTGTTCAATCTAATAATGAATATAAGTTACAACGTCAAACTTGTTATATAAATTCGCTCGATGCACATCAGAATTAGAATTGAATAAGTTTATTTACGCTATTATACTGGAAAACTGCGCACTGCTTTATTACTGATTCAAATTATCTACCTAATTTTTTTAATATGCAATTATCGTACCAGTAGTGCTAATCAAAGCGAAGCGCTAGATAAATCACACGATGCTTTAACACCTTAACAATTGTACTCCACAAACGTTCTTATTACAACAGAAAACTTGGTGCATTTAGTTCGCACTCAGTTACAGGTTGTAATAATCTATGAATGAGACAGAATTACTTACTTCGTATTGATGCACAGCAAATTTGTTATATCTATAGTAGAATTAATTTATAGTGGGTAGGAGCATCTCAATCTTTACAGTTAAAACTAACTACGGATATTTTTTATCTGCTACCTGCAGTTTGTGGTGTAGCCCTTGTTAATGCCGGCTATTTCAGTCAAGGCGAGGATTATTATTGTGTCTATGATTACCATCGTATTTATGGCACCAGATGCAATTTTTGTGGTGGTTTTATCGAAGGTGAAGCGATTAAATGTGCTGGAGAAGCCTTTCATAAAAGATGCTTCGATCAAAAAGCAAATCGGTAAATTGGATGCTAAGTGTGTATCACGGTTTATCAAATGATCACATTGTTTGATATGTAATAATATTTCTACAATATGGTATCAAACTAACCTTGAATAAGCCATTTAATAGCTTGAACTACTTTTGATAGAAATATTAATCATATCTGTTGTTTCGTATCATTTCAGATCTTTACCATCTGCTACTAATGATAAATCTCCTAATAAATTGCAATCACGATCGCCATCTTCAACAAAATCAAGCGAAAATATCATATATCCAAGTAAATTGAAATTAAAAATTAATGAAAGTAAAGTAAAGTTCATTATTTAAATTATTTATTGTTTATCTCGTGAAACATAATTTAGAATGCGGTGGTTGCAAACAAGAAATTCGCGGCGGTCAAGCATTAATCGCTCTAGATCAACAGTGGCATACCTGGTGTTTTACATGCAATCGATGTGGAAAGCAATTATCAGGCGAATACTTAGGAAGGTATAAATAAACTCATTATTAACGATACAATGTCATCGGGGGATTAGCTTGGTTATGCATGTGCTTGTAGATGTGCTTGTAGATGTGCTTGTTCAGTACTATAAAGTGCCTGTTTTTCTGTGGAAATAACCTTTAGTGTTGCTTCTGATGCTAAATCATATCTAATTTGACTAATGCAGAGACGGCATTCCATTATGTGAAGACGATTATCTGAAATTATATGGTATTATTTGTGCTGGGTGCGGTCATTATATCGTCGGCAAATTTCTTGAGGTAGGTCTATATTTAGTAATACTGCATTATTTGAGATCACATTAATAATATCTCTGAAAGTAAGTTGAATTATCGTGATGATATATTATTTTAAAGCATGCTTTAAATCAGATGGCTTTATTTTATATTGTCAAAATCGTATATTTATTTAAGGTTGGAGAAAGAAATTTTCATTCTGAATGTGCTCATTGCGTTCATTGCACTGAAACATTTCGTGAGGGACAAGAAATCTTGATCTATAAGGACGATTTATTTCACTCTTCTTGCCTAAAATCAAGTGCTTTGGTAAGGTCTTAGCGGACTTAAATCTTAGCAAGGCTATCAAGTCTCAAATAGTACTGTAAATTCAACATAAAATATCGCATTTCAACCCCATGGTACCTATGAATCCCTAAGTAACATATTAGATATAATTATTAATATAGCAGATTAAAGTATTGCCCATGATGACATTGATAGATTTAAAATTGCTAATTCAAATTATAGAGAAATTCTACGTCATCAACTTCCAGTAGCAAGAATGAAGGTAAGCAAAATAATACTTATGATGCTAATTCCGAAAGTTTTTATTTATAAGTCATTACCGCTATAATATTCTAAATAAATTTATATACGTACAAGCATCAAATAGATCCTAGTAATATATCAGTAGCGAGATAGATTTAGAGTTGAAATAGTTTTAGGAAACAATTAGTACAAGACTTGAATAATCATACTCGCATACGTATGAATAACGATCGCAGTGAAAGCTCTTTAAACTAATCTCTGAGAAAAATAAAGTAAATCTGAAGCAACCTTACTCTTTAATAATAAAAGCATAACCTCCTTTGATGGTTAAATTTATAGATGATGTTGTTAAAGGAAATAATCGTAGTCCGATGTCAAAAAATCTATTCCATGAAGAACCATCTCGGCAGAAATCACCAAGTAAAGAAAACTTAGCAACGGATTCGGCTTCAGACGCTATCGCTCCAACAGATTCAAACCACAATGACCTATTTCGTAAACCAACAACTCTCAATAGCTCATATTCAATCGGGCCATCTCAGCAAAACCCTGCTCAAATGCAACGTAATGCTAATATCACTTCCCAAAGACAGCCAAGTTTAAATCAGCGAGATTTCAATCATAATAATGGCTTTACTCATGAACTACCAACAGGCTCAGGATATTCTTATAGGAAATCATCACCTAATAATTCAATTCACCGAGATTCAACTCATCAGTATTTTAATTTTAGAGAAACAGCACAAAATAATAGCAACTCCCCAAAAATATATAACCGGCGTCCACATAATGAGGGCCATAGTAAAGCAGAAGTAAATAGTAATATTTCGCATCAAAAGCAGCCTTCTCAATGGCAGCAACAAAGCAATGATGATACCGTATATCAAAGTCCAATGCAGCAGAGCTCGTTCGGTAAAGTTTCAACTCGTAATGAGCCCATGGATGAAAATGTATTTCGTAAACGCCCAACGCAGACAGTACCTTACCAACCAAAGGCACCCGCTAGTAAAAGGATCATTCAGCAAAATTCGAATCTCCAAGAATCAGTCCCTAATAATATATCTCACCTAGAGTCTAATCATAAAACACAAGCTTATCAGAATTCTTCTTTGATATCAGGAACCGCATATCAGGCAAATAAGAGTGCATTTCGTAAATATAGACCTGACCAATCAAAGGTAACTAGCTCTTCTAATAACTATAACTTACGATCAAACTATGAGCATGATAACGATTTGTCATACTCGAATCCAAATCGGCATATGATTAGTAAAAGTTTACTAGATGAATCGAACAAAAACCATTATCGACAAGATAGCGAGCTAGGACATCGATATTCGGTTGCCGTAGAAGAGGATCGGGTAAATAATATGTTGGAACACTTAGATCTACATTCTGGCCGAGGCTCACCAAGATCGAACAAGTCATCGTCGCATATATCACGTTCAAAGTCCATGACCATGCTTAAATCGCCTTACATAAACAAGGCTAATGAGCAGCATCGTATTAGATCACAGTCGTCTGCAATGACAAAACCAAATTTCAGCTCAAACTACAATCGCCTGTAAATTTTTCATGCCATTAAAAGTTAGCAAGCACGTTTTATTAGATCATGGCCGACTTCATGGCCATCTGTTTCAAACCTTATCTAATAGGTCAAATTTCATTGATTTAAAAAAGAAAGGAAAAATAAAAATATGCCAGGATATCATCGTTATTTTTCCATTAGTGAAGTATACTAGTATCACGAGCTCCAATGCTATGTGAGTCTTTTTGAATATATAAATTGGCTAAGAAACATTTAACTCTCTTAACAAAGTATGGTTGAAGTTGTTTGGAGTACCATACACTATTATCACTAAAATGCTGCATTGTAATAAGCGAGTTTGACTATATTGAACGTGAGATTAGGCAGTAAGAGTAATTTAAAATTTTACTGCACCTAAACTGGACGACTTAGATTCAGCTTTCTCTATTTCGTGAATCGTATCAATCTAAAGAAGAGCAAGAAAATATTGGATTATCACATCGCTATTTGAAATTGTCAATAAACAAATTTATTACTGTACTGATTGACCATCGATAATACCATGCTGTATCTAAGAATTATCTATCACGTAATATTACTGATATGCAATTGTAAACGTAAGGTATTTACCATGGTACTTACTATCAATATGGTAGGGCTTAGAGTTCAAAAATTTAAGCGTACGTGTATTGGATAAATTTTTAAAACATTTTGATAAATCCACGAACCTTAACATTGTATATAGCAATAACGCTAATTGGCTTATTCAGAGATTTCTTAAAATCTATTTAATATATTTGAACAGTTAAACTACGGTCTCCTCGGTTATTTATTTATTAATAGGAAATAATATAAAATGCAATTATAAAACCAGTAAAAATGTAGCACTTGGTTTTAGTAAGCCTTTTATGACTTGATTTTATTTTTAATTCTTTATTACATTTTTATACAGTTCTATGCCTATCTATTTCTGAAATAAAATAATAACTAATAATGCTTTCCTAGCATTCGAAAAGATTCTCTTTTAATTAATTAATAAATAGATTGCTTGTTTGCAAGTGTAGAAACCATCAACTCTTAACAGCCGCTAACGATTGTACATATTTGATTCGTACACTTCCATTTTCTATAAAGTATTATCACCCGATTGATAAACTAAAGCTGTTGAATAATCGAAAAAGGTTCTGCTTTAGAATTAGTTCCTACTGATGCAGTCGTTTGCAGTACTTTTACATTGATAAAAAAGATATTATTTAATACAATTACCTCGTAGAAGGAAGCTTTTTTAATATCTAATTATTTTAATTTTATTAAGTGATATATTCAACTCGTAAAAGACAAATTCAGCGATTCTCTACATTCAATTCAATAGAATCAAATTGGTCAGCTATTACCGATAGTAAAATTATTTCCAATCTTAGCCGTAACATACATACTATATAGGATAAAGACAACGCGGTAAATAGATATTAGGCCTATACTACCAATTACAAGAACGGATTTTTTAGCCTTTATCAGTTCTTTTATTGTAGTCTATAAAAATTTCACAGCCATGTCCTCTTATATCAATCTAACTAGGTGTCATAAATCTGATGCTTAAAACTAGCAGCATTCGTACTGGTAATCCTACATATTTCTACTGCCTAAAGTAGCAGCCCAACTTTTAAACAATCAGTTAAATTATGGTCAAATTTCGTAAACATCAATTATCGTTAATTGTTTACTAATATAACATATGCAATTATCTATATAAATATGTAAAAAATTTTAGGCAAGGCGATTGTTGGCAAAATCATAAAGTTGATATCTGATGATGCTTATGATACGATTTCTAAGCAACAGTTGCTAATACTATCTCAGTTTGCTGAATTAAAGATAAAGATATTAAACATTTACGGTATTATTCCATTTGAAGAAATGATAGGATTAAGTAGCGAATAAAAGAGTAAATGTATCATTATTATTTGGACATCGATATACGTAGTATTATTATGATAATACTATTATCCGGTAAATAAGTAGTCCAGTAAATTTTGTCAATATCAAAAATATTTGCTAAGATACTCTACGCCTTTTTAGATCGATAAAGATAGCTGAAGCTAAATCACTTAAGACTGGATATATCTGAAATTTGTCATTATTTACTGATTGATTGATAACAGAGCAAACGGTATTAATACTAGAAATTTCCTGGTTCAATCATATATTGTAGTTAATAGTTAAGAGACTAGAATTAGATCATATTTATAAATAAACTAGTAGATGTTAAATTCACCTATGGTGAAACTTTCAATAAACTCATCTTTTCCAATAACGAGAATGGGTTTGCAAAGTTAAGCTGTCACTAAAATACCTGTATTTGACTGCTATCAATCTCTCAACTAACCCAGACATTGCTCGTTATGATATTCGGGATAAAAAATTGATTGTTAATTTGAAATCATAATATCATATTTATTATAACTATGGTTTGTTACCGTTTTGTTCCGGTGTTGAAAATGCAGTAGTTGTACAGCAGATTCCTTATAACTTCGATCCGTGACTGGTTTAAAACTGTATCGAAAAGCGGTTACAGGCTTTACTAACAAATGATAAGTAAGGATTAGTAATCTGGAGATATCGACTCATATTACAAAATAAAGACTGCTAGGTATATATTAAAAACTTTATTCTCAGCTATCTGGTCTAATAAGGTGTAAACTTTTATCTCATTGATTTGCTGACGGGAAATAAAAATCGCAGGGATGTTAGCTAGAGATTGATAGAAGTTGTGCTTGTATTAAAACATTTCACATAAATATAGAATTTCTAATTGAATTTCTTAAATATTTTGGGTCATAATTTTGATAGAAACTTTAACTCTTTATTACTCCTTTACGTAAAAGTTTCGTTTTTAATATTAGAAGTTTCATTAGTATGCTAGTGTTAACGATATATAGGCAGAAACATGCATATAATGATATATATACTTTTAATCTACACTTAGAGTGAAGTTTGTTCTGAGCTACTAAGTCAAATTTCGTATATCGCTCATCGGGTAAGTTTAGAATTATAAACCGAGTGATATTGATTCATACATTGGACTGCTAATAATCGGACCTATGAATGTATGATAATTGGTTGTTTAACGAAATAAGCCTGATAACTTATTACAATTCATCTATGTCCTAAATAAATAACAAACTGAATTATGAAAAATTATTCCTTTATCTTTAAATATCAGTCTCATTAGATACGACAGCAAAAGTTACAGTATAAGTTATTCATATCTTTCACTTAAATAGTTAAGGTAACTTAGCACATGTTGACTGAACTTATCATAAACAGTACTGGTTGCCAAAGTTTCAAGATAACATTACTTCAACATAAAGAAAATAAGAGAGGATTATTATAAAGGTAGATAGATAATTGACGTCATATAACGTCACAATCTAGTACTCACTACTCATTGTTATTCAAATAGATATACTTATTAATTAATAGCTTAGAATTACAGTATCACAGTCAAAATTAACTAGAAATTTAATAGAAGAACCCTTCTGATTATGAAACAATGTAAAACTTGATCCTTGCCTGATGCTAATTTCATCAATATAAAATAGTATAGGCAATAAATTTATTTTTAATTATGTATTCCGTCTACAAATTTAATTGATTATTGTCTTCGTTCACAGGACTGTTTTGTTAACAATGAGACTTTGTATTAAAGTACAAGCAGCCTCTAGCTTCAGTACGTAGCTGTTTAGAATGACTTAGGTGATTATACAATAGTAAATTTACTAATGATCGGTAATGTCAATATTGTTATTATTCGCAGTACGATCATTTTTATGATAATAATTGAAGCTAGCTTTCATGCATGGCATATCTATTGACATAAAATAAAAACAAAATTAGTAACTCTTTTCATTAGTAAACATAATGAGTAGATTAATCTTTATTCTGGATGTTTTTCTACTTGGTTTATTTGGAGTCAGTAATCGCTAGCAATTCATTTTACTAGGGCTACAGTTCGAGATCCTATATTTTTGTTTTCGTTTTATTCTCATTTTTTGTTTAGATTCTGACAACTAGAGTTGACGTTGTCGATTACAAATTTACTTACCTAGATCTAGCTTTGACCGCCGATCGTATCATGGGTGTTTTATATCAAAAAAAATTATCTTATCGTCATGGCCAGCATAAACAGTCTGATAATTCGCCACCGGTAGCAAGTGCTACCGGTCAAGTCTTAAACTTTACTACCACTCCTACTATTAAGCGTAAACAAGGAAATAATTACAAAAGTAAGTTAAAGTCGATAAATTTTTTAAAATAATCCTGTATGTTTTCCAAATTGACATTTGATTATCATTAGTCATCGTATTCATTATTGAGGAAGTATGTATCTCAGTTTCGATACTCTTAGCTCTAAATTGATGCCTTTTATTGCTATTTCCTAAGTTAAAACCTCTCGAAAATATCATTAGCCTTCTTCATGATTCTATATATTTTCTCACTACCATAATTTTTCAATTCAGTAGTACTAAATAACGACGGCTATAACATATTTTTATGAAGGTCTATTTTAAGCAGACACTTAAAAATTAGCATGTTATCATCTTCTGTAGACACTAAACGCATTGCATTAAACTCATTCTTAGAAATATTGTTAATTGTTTGAAAATTGTCTGTAGATTTGTTCTTGTCAACTTTTCAACATTTTCCATGAAATTTCTTGATACCATTCGTCTCGTATACGTTATTGTAATTCTTGGAGACTATTCCGTTCTAGCAGAGTTCTCGAAATTGAAAGTTCCATTCGTTTCTTTACCCTAATTAAATATTATTGATTTATATAATGCCCGGATATCTAATAGCTTGTTATATTGTATGCCCTTATATAATCCATTTTATTTCATCCTTGACAATGCTGCTTGCTAATGCAGTGCTTGTTCAGCTCATAGGATCATTACGACATCATTAGCAGTTTTTAAATGTTCTATTTGGATGAAGAAGCAATTAATTTCATACTATAACCGTAAATATCATGTTGTTCAAACATCTAATAATGATTAACATCAATTGGCTTAATGAAACCAAGACATTCATCAGGCTCATCGAGCCGATCATAAAACACTCGGCCCAAAGCTTACAGTGATTGCAAGAATCCGTCTGCTCACATTCTAGTAAATATAGAAACCATTCCATTATATGGTCGTTGCTCCATCTGCTCTCTTAGATCATAACTTAATTTTGATAGTGGATAAATAGTCTTCCATATATCTTTTCATAAATAAAATGCTAGTTATTTGAATTTGTCATTAGGGCTATAATATTTCAATTAAATGACTATTCTTTAAACCATTTTCATGCCCATGAGTAATTCAGAAATTCGTACTTATCATACTACAAAAGCAATTATGCGATAACCTTAAGATCAGTACCTTATAAAATTTGATGTGCTATAAATCATGCTTCTCTTTTGCACATTTTCATATATCTCTTTAAGTATTCCCCTTATTTGATTGTTGCTTTGTAGAGGTCAGCAGAATTACAGCTACCCCAGAGATTTCATTGCAATTTATTGCTATAAGTAATCAATATTATTTAAAAAAGTAAAACCACAGCTGCAACTTTTGATTTGCATATCTCAATCTTCATATGCTAAAATATTTTTGAAACAAGATCATACGTACTATAAAGAAATCGATTCTCAGATCGAGTAAGATTAGGTACAAAAATTGACAGAGGTATTTTTATATCATGTCCTTGTTCCAAAAGTTTGATCGCAATTGTCTCTAGCCACTATATGGCGAACCAAAAATATAAAATTAGTAGATATCCAGTTATTTATATTTCATTTCTTCATTTATGATTTAAGGAACTGGCCGATTAGTTACCATTAATGTCGGCTATTATGCGAAAAATGAGGACCAATATTATACATATCGTATGTGCCACCCTGAAACAAAGGAATTATGCTTTTACTGTCATGAATATCTCGAAAATCAGGCTGTTGAGATGAATAAGAACAGATATCATCTGGAATGCTTCGATGAGTATATACTGAGGTAATTAAAATATTTAATCCAACCGTAACATTTGTTGTCCAAAATTATATAATTACAATCAGTCGAGTTAATTTCTCATAAACGTTATTCTTCTTGATTGGAATAGGTCGTATAAATATAATAATAAAAATTACATCCACGTTCGTATATTAATTAGCTATGAGATTATTTTAGCTTAACTTCTCTAGTATAGAGGGCTAAATCTAAGTCAAAAATTATACTTCACCTTATTAGTAAATAATGTCATCATCATATAAAACGCAATAGAAAAAATATTTTCCAAGAAAATACTTCTAAACATATTCACTTTTATTCATCTTCCAAGGACCCCTATCTCCGTATAATGTAATTATGATTTATGATTTATATTACTAATAATTTATAAAACTCCAGAGCTAATAAGAAATCGCGATTAAAATTACTGTAATGATTAATGTAGAAAGTTTACTAACTATAGATAAGGAATTTGATTAGATGAATGAAATAAAACAAATGTTGAATATGAATGATATAATTATTGACGGCTTCTTCGAGCATATATAAAGCAGAAGTTGATCAGCATTAGTAAAGAAGCTATTTCTAACAATATTCTACTCAAACAATGATGACAGGAAATAAGTTAGATGGCCAATATTATTGACTTCCGCGAAATTAATTATGTAGATTTATGGTTTTTATGCATTTTGTAGTAAAATATCAGACGGACTTCAGACTACGGCCAGTTCTGATCAAAAATCCGACACGGTTTCTTCCATGGACTACGTAATGAAAAATTTTTTGTCAAGTATGTATTTTTGCTTTACGACGTACATAGCTATTGCTAATTCTCCTTTTTCTTTAGCATAAATTATTATTAATAATGTCATACAGTCTAGGTAATGTAGTTATAATTTAAATGGTGAAAATTTTAATAACGCTGCTATAAGCAATATTCAGACTGCTACAGAATTGTACTGATAGAATGTTTAGGACTCCTCTAAATGACGCTTGCTACAGTGCTAACTAGTCGTTTCGAATAAGCATACGCGTACCTATGATTATAGTGTCTTCAAGTATTGTTAATATTCATTACCAATCATCAACAGAATGTGGCGGCTGTCAAAAAGAAATTGAAGATTATCATGGAATATTCGCCCTAGAACAGCAATGGCATCCTTCCTGCTTTAAATGCCATCATTGCGGCAAACTGCTAAATGAAGATTATGCTGGAAGGTAAAATGAACATAATGCATTTTATGTTGCTGATACAAGAGTTGATGTTAACTTAGACTACAAAATGGAATCTATAACGTGACACTAGAGAAAATAATTATTTAAAAAAATTTTAAACTCGTAATTCGCCATTAAAGGATTAATTGTCGAAGTATTTTATCATAGCCAGTATAATACACGATAGAAATGTTAAACCTCTAAACTTACTATCTTTCGTTGTAATAATCCCAGCTGCACACCTTATAGTATATTACTACGTAGCCTCTGTGTGAGGTACATAGTCAGTTATCATATTCTTGCACCATTAATAAATTCAATTGTATCTAGCTAATGTAATTCGAAAAATAAGAAATATATACTATAGTATGTATCGTCAAAGTAGATCATTACTTGTTTCCATCTCCAACTTGAGTTAAGAAAAGAAATTCGACTATTATCTTAGAAGTTCGGTAGTAAGCACCTTACAATCACTGTAGATGCGATGCATTTAATTCCAGCAGTTATCATTTACTTCAAGAAATGCTTTAATTTTTCAAATACGATAATTAAGATTTACTTTAATTGCTGTTTATATTATTCTCAATTTTTGTTTAACGCGGTTTATAATTATTAAATATACTGTTATATGAATTCTTTAATGATCGATCAAATGTGGCTGTGTAATGAATCCATGACAGAAATCGCAAGCCTTATTGCTTGGATGATTTTCGGCAGCTATTTGGTGTATTCTGTACTGGGTGCCAGCATTACATTGATGGAGAATTTCTTGAGGTAGGATTGATGTAGGAGATCTATTAGTGGCCGCCTAAAACAAATACGGTATTATTTCTGAGCTACATTATCCTTCTAATATGATCATGAATAAAGAGGTCATTGTTAAATAAATTATCACCCTTTATTTGCCCACCAATTTACATCGGGCGATATATTATCAATAGATAACAATATTTGCGTGGCTTAACAGAATTACTATAGCAAAGACTGTGGCTTTATTGAATAATCGAAAAATCAAAAAAATTATTACCGTAGCGTAGAAATTTCCAACAGGCGTTACTTAATCATTAGCGGTTAATGTAATTCATTTGATATGATTTTATTAGATTGGCGAGAACAACTTTCATACAGCCTGCGCCGTCTGCATAAAATGTAAAAAACCTTTTCTCGAGGAAATTGAAGCTGTTGTTATCAACGATAAATTATGGCATAAAGAATGCCAATACCTTGAAGGTAACTATTTTATAGGATTTAATGTTATGCTTCTATTTATGTCAGAAATTATTACAATATGTTAACTAGTTTCGAATCCATCTAGATGACGATACTAAACGTTCATTACCGACGGCTACGCGTGCAGAAGTCTCGTCTAAATTAGAGAGTCCTGCTAGTCCAATCAGTAAACCAACCTTTACGAATTTGGTTGTGCTAAGATGTGCAAGTACCGAACAATTGCAAAATATTGGTCAGCGAGGGCGTACCTATAGTGATTCCGCTGCTTTCAGTGACATTCAAAATCCAAGTCGTTGCCGAACAGTAACTATTAACGGCCGCGTAATGCTAGGCAACAGAGATGGTTCTTGCAGTCCTTCTAGTTCACTGCCTGATCGTCAGATAAGTCATAGGAGAAACAGAATTTCAGATCCAGTTTCATCGACATCGCTGGTAGAAGCTATAGCTACACCACCATCCAGGAGGAGGCTGCATAGTGCCACCACCAGCTCAACTAGCAGCGCCGTAAAAACTAGTCTAATTCTGCACAAAGGCAATTTCAGTAACAGCAAGAGTCAGGTTCCAACATTACAATCTAGCCCTTTGAGTCAGCGAAAAACTAGTATGTATCTAGATTGATTTTAAAATTTTTAATAAATAATTAATTAAATAAAAATTACATCATTTACTTTTACCTAATTGACTTTCATGATTGCTAACATAAATTACTCCTACACTTCTATTGCCAGTTTAAGATTTCGTATCGATTCGGTTTTAAAGTTTTTTTATTGTATTTAAATTTACATCTCCCTGCGGATCATTATTTTGATTATAATATCGGATAGTCAGCTTGCAAACTATGCAATACATCAAGATTGAGTGTAGTAATTCTCAAATCGTTACCATTATGCTGATTCTGACAAGTATCTTGTTAATGTTTGGTATATCTAGAAACAAGTAGTGAAAAGATTTTAAATATTGCAAGTCAATCAATTTTAAAATAAAGTATTTTCCCTAAAAATTTTATTCTCGTGTTATCGTAGTTGCAATTTGTTCTGTTGATGGTTAAATAATTTTGTATAATATGTAAAGTGTGTTTCCGATATAGGTAACAATTAACTTAATTGTGCTTCAACTAATTTTCTTAGGTGAAACAATCACTTCCTGCATAACTCATAAAAAACATATCACTATTTCACGGAAAGGTGCCTCTTTACCAGCAATCACACGACCCAGCGCAACCATAGTACATCAAGATTCAAAATAGGCAATCACTGGCAGGCCGATAAAGATTTAAACTAAGTATTCCTTAACTGATATTATTATCAGGAAGGGGTATTGTGTTCACATTTACAATTATTATAATACGTACACGCTTGCTTATATTTAGAAGTAAGTCTAGAAAATTATTAATTTGCTTATTTTAAATGACGCATAGTAAGGAGTTGCATACTTGCCGATATTAAGGTGTGAGTTTATTAATTAAGCGATTTACTTACTTTAATGGGGCAATGAAAGAAGTTACTACGCAGGACTGTAGTCCTATCTTTCTGTATTAGGTATGATATACCATATTTTTGTTGTACACTCTTTCAAGTATCTTGTCCAATGGACTTGTAAACAGCATTTTCTTTACATATTTACTGTCTTAATGTTACACTAGATTAATTGATAATATTTAACAATGGATTTTAATCATTAAACACCTTATCGTCAGAAGCAAAATAAAGATCATCAAAACTAGATTTTGAATATTTTCATTGGTCACAGCCTATACCAAGATAGAGTAGATCTATACCTCTTGTAGGATATTTTTCATTGTGCACATGTCTGTATTACCTAGTCTTGATAGCTCTCCTGCTCGATATATACCTCATTTTTCGTTCTTTATGCTGATTAAGTAACCTAGACAGCAGTACGGTAGTATACGGTGCCAGTTACTTAATCCGAAACGAAAGATTTTGTGATCGTGATAATTGATGACTAATATGCAGATATCTCACAAACCACGTTGGCAATGTTTACTTTTCATCGCCAATAAAAGAACAATTGACCTTCAACTGGAGATATTATCATAAAAACTACTGTAGAATTTATAATATATACTGCTCTTTAATAATCCGATTTGGTGATACTTAGGGCATAAAATTAGAAAATTCTTCAACAAGTGCAGTATTAATTGTTACGATATATTCTTAATGGGACATTATGGTATCTAATCAAGAAATTAAATAACGTGATATATTCTCAAGCATAAAGCGAACAAATTATGATAAGTCATAATGCATCAGCAACTGGATATTTTATCATCAATTCTGATTTGATCAATGGAAACGAAAACATTTTAACAACAAAAACGGTTGTCGATTTATAACGTTTATTGAACTATTCATCAATAGCATTCAATCCAGATAGGTACCGAGATAAACAAAATATCAAGAAATAAGAAGATATTATGATTCTATTTACATTTATATTCCCTTTTTATTGACTTAGAAAAATTACAGAACAAGTAGCAAAAGTAGATTGTACGATTTTATGTGGTCTTTTTGGTCTATTCGTGTGATACCAACGACTAGTATCATTAATCGTAATTTATCTGTATCTCTCCATGTAGCTTGAGTTTCGTAGATTTAATATAAATATGAAAATTGTCATAGTTGATAACTTTGATGACGATTTCTAAATAAAATCTGGAAAATTACTCAGTTGCATGGCTATTGCGCTTTATATAACCGATAATGGCCAAGTAATAACTGGCCAATATCGGTAATGGCCAGTCATTACCGGTAATGGCGTAGTAAGGCGGCCGTCATTACCGGTAATGCTGGGATTACCGACATTGGCCGTAACATATATACCATATCAGATAACTATTTAGGTTTATGGCAAGTGAAATTAAAAACATACCAAGTTTGATAACTGGCTTGTTCAGATTAATGTACAAATGCAATTGTTGTTTTTCATTATCAGCTTTCATGATAATGTAATTCAAGCAAAGATATTAATTTATTTAACATTCTGGTTGGAATTTGGATTACCTTAAAGCTTAAATTAAACCTTTAGTCTAATTATGAACACTTTCGACTTCTACTTCATATATACGAGTAATATTTCACTGCAAGCTATTTTTTATTACTTAACTTCGATACGATATTTTTAACTTAGCAAAATCTATCTAAATTATGTTGAGTGAAGGTAGCTACACATTTATGTTCATAATTAAATCAAATTCAAACAATCTGATTGTCAACATTTTCTACATCATAGGAATGTCGAGTAGACTAAGAAATCGATATTACTGTAGACATAATCTATTCTACAGTATAATCATCATCTCACCTATAAAAATTTATTATTGAATCAAAATACTGATCAGAACGTCATTTATTTAGTAAAAATATGCGATCGATATGGTTATTCTTCGATTACAATAGCTAACATAATCAAGCAATTTGCTATAAACAGCAAAAATCAATTCTTAGATAACGTGGAAATTTTTTTATTTATGTGTTATTTTAGATCATAACTAATACATTATGATTAATTTTTTAGCTAGAAATAACATATATATTTGTAAGATCTAGCTTATTTCACTTAGATTAAATTAGGCCTCTTTTCTAAAACTAGCAAAAATTATCCTGTATCACAACAATGATACTTCTATCTAGAGTATTATTTTCTAATAGTCACTTAAAAAATCTATCCGAGGCGTTACAATATTGCATGTATCTGCATATTTATTAGTTGTTACCCGGCCTTTTAAATTCGTTGGATAACTCATAGTTAGGAAAGATAAAATATGTGTTTTTATATGTCACAAACCAGCTTCGTGACAAACATAAGGTAAAACAAATCTCTGAATTACTGTAGCCTCCGGGATTCAGTTTCCCTTAACTATCTCATAAGAATTTAGACGCCTTTGCTTCTACGTTAAGCAAATATAGAACTCTGCTTTATTCAACTATCTGCCGAGCTTAAATACCCTTCGGCAGCTGCTATCAGGTATGAGTCATAACAGTTCATGAAATTTAGTTCATATTGGATAGATAAATTAATACAGAAATTATTTATCATCTTAGACATGTACTGAACGATTCTAGATGATTAGATTACAGTAGGTCTATACACAGAATTATTTATAGTATCCTCTATAATTGAATATCTTCAGAATATTCATCACAAGCGTTACAAGACATAGCATTATAATCAATTAACATTAGTTACCTTAGAGAGCTCTTACGACACTACAGCATAATTTACTGTAACAAAATACTAATTACTGTAGTTCTTACTGTAAGTCATTATTAGTTATCTTCATATATTAATGTTAAGCACTAAATTTAGTCATTTAGTCTTCACGGTGGTTTGCACCGTGACATTATGAAACAGCAAATCCGAAAACATCATCAGTCTAAGTCTTCCATATCTGCTTACCATATATTAAATTAAAAATTGATAATGCAATAACTGATAAGGTTTGAAATTAATGTAGCAGTAATTCGATAGCGCTGCGAATGTCTTCAGTTTTATTTATTCAAATGATAATTTGATTATGAACCGGCAGATCTAAAATGGTATAGTGAATGATGATAAGAGATGAAGTTAAATATTATTAAATGATGTCTGTAATAATTATTTATCGACTATTTTCATTTTAGGTATCGAACATTTACTATTTTAATTATAGAGTAATCAGGCAAATTAGCTTACATGTAATTGAAGCAGATGTCTTAATTAGATATGAAATAGTTGTAGTTCCCACAGTTGAACTGAAGATCATCACTTTAACTTTGCGACTTTTGAAAAGCATGTCTTGATTTTTTCCAGGTTACGGTTTAGCCTCTACAGGTATATTTTAATGTAGGGGTAAAAGTTTGTGAACGTCAATAATGGATGCATCAAAATTTATTTCAAGCTGATATATAATTATCATCATATAAGGGAAACTTTTAACTTTTTGTGAATGAAATTTTAATGTATGAAGTAAAATGGAAGACGAGAAAATGTTTTGTATTTGTCAGATCACAGTATACGCGTAGACATTTGATAAAAAGGTCATAATTTAGTGTTGTGAAGTCATTGTAAGAAATAGATTAAAGCAGATAAATAGATTCTTCATAATATGAATAATATTATGAAGTAGTACGATGCTAATTTCTCTGCCTATCCTTTCCCATAAATACTACGCACGTATACAGTGACGTTCTAAGATTATGTAATACCATTATCAATTACTACTTCGTTTTATTATTTTAAAAATACGGATATAACTTACGTACAAAGTATTCTAAAATAGGTTCTGAATACCACGTTATGAATTAGAAATTGTCCGCTAAATTGAATTTGAACTTAAGTTCAAGGAATTAAATTCCGGTCATGCATTGAATTAAACTTTTCTTCTACGTTCGTTAGTAGTATTTCCCTAATAGAATTGATTTTCTCTATTATTATGCATTATTCCGACAACCGAAAACGTTAAAACGTGACATGGTTTAAAACGTAAGGGATGAAAGTAGTAGATGATTGAAATTATTGATGTTGATTATTACTATTTATATAACATAATTTCCTAATAAGTAAGCTAATTTTAGGGACCTAAATATTATATTAATCTATAGCGTGCATTGAGATACTTGCCATGATAACTAGACTGACTGGATTTCATACACTGATTTATCATCAACAGCCATAGTATGAATTGATCCAAACTTGAAAATGATAAAGATAATTAGTTAATTACGAAAATCAATTTTTCTTTAGATGATAACGTTGATAAGGTTCAGATCAATTTATTTATCTATAGAAGAAATTAAACCCTAATCAAGGTATTTGATTTATGATTTATTTAGATAAGAAAATAATTTACCTCTTGATATTCATGGCATGGTATCTACTCAATTAGGTAAAAATATTTTCGAAATATTATTTTACACAGTAGAACGATTTTAGGCATTATTTTAAGTTAATTATTTTGTTTTCATGGTCGCACATTAAAATAACTCGACAGGATAACATTCAAGGTAAAACATTGTCTCGATGGTATGAGCAATAATTCGATAGATCAAGCAGCAATTGCATTAATATTGTTTCGCTTGCATGTTATGAAGGTGACAACTTTTATCAATAGATACTCTACAACTCAGAATAATTACCACGAAGGGTTAAGCTAAGTCATTAATTCAATTATATCATTAACTCAAGAACGATTTGACAACATCAACAATTAAGTACAGCATTTTAATATTGAAACACAAATTTCTACCTTCCACATTTTGTTTACGCTTGAGTAAGTAAGAATTATTATATTACAGGCAAAAACAATCATATGCAGATAGAAACATGATGATAAAAGAAATGGTTTTGGAACTTTTCAATTTTGATTATTTACTTCCCTATATAGTTGCTACAACACAATTTTATTTGCTGTAGCAACAACAAACGTAGATTTTGAGTAGACTTTAGCTGCTCATAGCAATCAATTGCTTAAGGGATACCTTGTCTATATAATGGTGTTTCAATTTTCGTAAGTCATACAGATAGAAATAAATTGCTAAGACATCAAGTATTATCAGCATTTCTTATACTCATTTAAGTACTAAAGCAATCTATTGATCCTGATTGAGTTCTATAAAAAAGGCGATAAGGTACCTAGGTATCGAATATGCCATTAGTGGTCAACGTAAACGATATGATCGGTGTTGTACCAAAACTAGCATTGCTATACGGCTAGGAGATCCTGACTAAATTCAGAATAGTGGATGAGTAACACAGATCGCAAATACATCACGTTATATAATCTAGGATAATTGTAAATTTTATGAGGTCAATTTACGTATGTCGAAATAATAAACGGATAATTTTAAACTTGTCATCATTCAGTTATGATATTTGAGGTGGAATTAATTTACAAAAAACATAAAGCTACTATTATTTAAAGTACTTTAATTCGTAATAAGGATATGTTTATAATATCAATAGAAATATACGGAAGATGACTTGAAGAAAAATGACGGTAAAAGAAGATATTTTTATTGCACTATCAATTAAGTCACGTAATGATTCTGAAAGTTTATGATGACTTCGATACATGTTACAGAGCATATGACGAATATTTTCTTCAAAGCAATTACCCCGTCGAACAATCGCTATCGATTTGATAACTTCACTTTCCTAATGCAAAGCTACTAGAAATTGGAATAATTCTTCAAAGTTGATAAAATAAAATTGGAGATGAACTTGCATTTAAATTAAAATCAAATGAATAGATATTATTGACCGGTATAACGAATCAGGGCTGAATAGTTTATAATAGGCTATCAATTGGCCCTTATTTTATATTTGTAATTGATGTAGTGTTTAGAAACACGTCAATAAATAAGTAAATAGAATACACTAGAATTTGTTGTAATATCGTTTGATTATTAATGGCACAATTTTGCTAGCAGTTTACCCCAATATCGAGGAGAAGCTGTAGAGACGATCTTACAATCAATAACTTTATTGAAAGCATTGACTATGACATTACATTAAAAGACACAGTAATAATTGAATGATAATCAGAAATTAAAAGTATAAACTACAATTTTATATATTTTCGTGACTTTTATCAAGTTCACATCCTAGTATCAAATAGAATATTATCGTAATCGCCGTTAAAGTAAATAAATTTCATTTCTTTTAAAAATAATAGAAAAACTAGCTGAAGGAAATGCAGGCACAAACAGACATCGCATAAATAGCAACGGCTCATAATTTCAAAATCAAATTTTTGCTTTGTTATTCTTTAAATTAGTTAAACCAATGGAAGATTGCTTAACTAACCATGGATTAACAATAATTCAGCATTGAAATTATTGTATAATTAAGGCCTTGTCTAGACTGTGCTGAATAGATGAATAATCAAGACAGAGGCATCTTATTTTCGGCTAATAAGATGTTGATTGAAGTCCTTTTAAACTATATCATTCTCTCTACTTCACATTAGAAATAATTTAAATGAATACTAATGATGTTGATAGTAACGAAGTAAAATATTGTCGAGGATAATGATGATAGATTTCATTCCTATAAATTAAATCAATAGCTTGAGTTATCAGCCGAGCCCCTTTTTTGCTTTTACTTTTCCTATTATCTATGCAGTTTACCATAGCTATGGAATACTGTATATATTTCATCTTTCTAGCTTCATAGATAGGCGAATATTTTCTATTATCATTCATTCAAGGCATGATCACGTTGGAAAATTGTTTACTTAGTGTATTTTTCTATCATGATCTATACTAAACCGGAAAGTTCAAGAAAGCAATATGACATAAACGAAAACGATTGATGGAATAGTCTAATTTTAAACTAACGACTCCAGCACGTCTATTAGGATAAAAATGTTATATAATATAACTTTGAAATCATTTTTGGATTCAATCAATCACTTGATTGTTATCATCTTGCAAAGTTTCATAGCTGATCCTTTTATTCTTAATAATCAAAATATATTCAATGCAATTATCAATCCCAACAATAAAGGGTAGTCGTATTTCCAATTAAGATAAATCCATTGTCGATGATAGGATAGTTATTATTTTCTATAGTCGACCAATTCTTGACTTTATTATTGTTTCTTTCATTTTTTATCCAACATTATCAATATTAATTGATCGAAATACTGCTCATTGTCCACAGTATCCCTATAAATAGCGAACAAAATAGCTAATAAGCACAGTTGTAATCGTTCATCAACTTGACCAACACATAGAAACTCGTAGCATCTATTGCAAAAATAGTCATTCCTAAAATTAGAAAAAGACTTATACTTTCTTAAGCTAATATTTCATTCCATCGCATTATTTAAGCTTAATCAGTTAAGCTATATGGTCCTACAGGATAGAAAAGGTAAAATTGATGGTTAGCAAATTTATGCATCAATCGATCTATCACTGCTTTTCATCATTTATTTGATCTGAACATGAGTTGTCTATTTGCAGCAATAACGAGCTCACTACAGCTAGGTACAATCGTTGAATCGCCTCGATATCCTACTGATAAAGCTATGGCTAGTCAGCAGTATTATTCAGCTTTGACTCAAGGTAAATCGAACGTATATAGGTTAAATTAGGATTTTATTCAGCATCGATAATTAGAATGTAGACCTTTTTACTACGAGGTAACCTCATATAACACTACCCAATAAGAGGCAACATAGTAGATCAAAGGAGCCTATTTTATTAGTATTACTTTAACTAAGATTGATCAATAATATGCGATAGATTATGACATTTTTCTACTGCGTGTTAAATGATTAAGTGCAGCCGCCATTATCTTATCATGCATCGAAATTATTAATCTATGTAATAGTACAAATTGGAACAATTTATTGCCTTATTTAATATTGTAGTTAATCAGTAACTTTAAAAGTTTTCCCGTATAATTTTTAACTTGATAGTAGTTGACCTACTTAAATCTATTAAGATGTGATTAATTCTTATTTATTACAAAATTATAAGCCTATATATCGCCTATAAATCGATCGAACAACGGTCTTGAATTTTTACTGTCTGTTTTCCTCTGATGAAAAACCCTATTATCAGCTCTTTATTTATGTTGTACTGATCTCTTTACTAGACCACCAAATCAACATTCCACCGACGAATATACGAACAAAATCAGCTGAAGACAAGATAGTAGGTGATGGGAATATAGCCAGCCCAACTAAAAGGCGTCGTTATCGTAAGTCGATGTCTAATCCGCTATTTACGTCGTCGAGTATACCGAAATCGCCATATCTTCCAGCAATGAGTGGAAAGAAACATATCTCGTTACCCGAACTGAATGAACAAACCAATTTGACCACCAATCGGATAGCATGGAAAAATAGCGATATGTTTAAATCATCGAATAATATCAATGCGGTTGCAACACCTACTTATAATCGGAAAGAATATTTGAAAAAGCGAGTAACCTTTGCAACCCATTTAGAAACTGATAATAACGAAGATAGTCAACATCAAAATACCCAACAGAAGGCTTTTCGATCCCGCAAAATCAGTAAGTTCATAGCAGAAAATAATAGTTTACATTTTTCTCAACGTGCATATTGTCTACCTTGTATCTTACCTTGATATTGCCTAAAGTCATAGAAGTCTTCCTAGTTAGAAGTCAATATTATGTTTTTACTACACTTAAGCGGTGTATTTCGTCATAAAATTGTGGAAAAAGAGGCGGAGAAGGAAGTAAAATAACCCTATAGGATGTTTATACAAACAAAATACAGTAGCTTCAAGCAGTTAAAAAAATTAGACTATTTTACTCTATGAACAATAGAATCGCTGCGTAATTGATAGACAATACCTGATATTCCTTTTCAGACAATATTGCTGAGCTGGAACTATTTAAATAAAAAATATAATCGTTACGCCGCAATATTGTAGGTTATTCATAGTTTAACATTTTATGCTATATCGCCCAAGGATAATCTTATTCTTTTGACAATAATACTAGTCTTTGCTAAAATTTAGAGTAATCAATGATCGTCAATAAGGTATCATAACAATATCAATTCAATTCATAGAACTTTTAAATTAATAATATTCTAGTTTTCTTTCAACATTATCACTCCTATCTAGCTTGAAAATGAGATTGCTATTCTTAATTGTGAAACGATTGATTTTGATATTTGATATCATCTTCATTTAAGCGCATTTGCAAGGTAATTGGGGTTATATTACATTCTCATTGACAAAAATTATTCAGTTAATTATCAACGCTAATTTATGTCCATTTACAGAATAGACGCATAAAATTGTTTTAGAGTGAAGCTATTGTATAGAGTATCTGAATGGATTTGATAACATTAATTATTAGTTTGATGCCAGTATATTCTTTAAATTTTCCACCTAATTTATTGCAAGGCTTAAGGCAATTTAATCTTCTGGCAATACATAAGAATTGATCTCGATTAATCTGCACAGTTTTATTCAGGACTGATTAAGTATTTACTTGCATTTGGTTTTGAATCAAAAGAATTTACCGGTATTTTATATTACGATTTTTCATCAATAACGCACCCGTATGCGGTGCTATAAGCTGTGGAGTATTATAATTAGTTTTTAGTAGGCTTAAACTTAGCAAAGTTGATAAAACAATTCACCAACAGGAACAAAAATAAATTGATTAAGAATGATATTATCCCATTTTATGTGTATGTATGGAAACGTCATAGTGCTCTACGTTTCTAACTTAAAATTAATCGCATCCATACGCCACATTTTGACTAAAGTAATTAAGGTATCCATGCAATTTTAGTTTTAAAAGCCCATATGAACTTTTAATATTTGAAGAACGATTTACTACCATCATTCCTTTATTCGTATTTAGCTTTAATTAATTATAATCATTTCGAAATATTTTACCAATTTTCTAGAATGACCAATTCAACGCTATGCAAGTGATTATCTATTTTCTTAATAAAATACTTAAACACAGGAGTAATTCCCTTTAATAATTAATGACAATCTGAAGAAATTGTGTAATAAAGTTAAAAATGGTCTCTTGGATGCTTCTGCATTACAAAAACATATATCGGCAAAAATGATAATTTCTTATAGTTATTTTCTTATTTTTCAAACTTAACTGATCAACATATCCCTAATTACAGCTTAGAATTACTGGTAGTACTTGTAATTGAGCGCTTATTTCACTCTTAAAACAAATATGCCACCATAATAATTACTGTATTAAAATAAATTGAAGAAAATAGCATTAATAAAATCTAAAAACGATTATCGCTTTATTAGTAAAAATTCTTGTAGCTGACGATTTCCTTCCATTTGCCACTATTAAATTACAGGCGATCCAATTCGACCCATCCTGAAAAATGATAACAGAAGATTACGACGATTAAGTTCATTAGAAGATTGTTCATCGCCATCAATGCATAAAATTCAAACCTTTGAGCCAAAAATTACTCCATTCAATTCGAGTGATTCATTAGATTTGACTTATCAATCGTTAAAGGGTAAACACAATGATCAATATGGTATTCCAACCACAACCAAGTTAGCTCAGGCTCAAGCTAACGCTATAAAATTACGTAAAATTATTCGATCGATGTCAAATGAATCGAATGCTGCTTTCAGTGGACAGGTTAAGCCAGCCAAGAAAACATTGCCAGGTCGTAATGTTGCTTTAAGCATATCAAACGGCTTACGTAAATTAAAAAATGAAGCTCATCTATATTTAATTAAGTAAAATTATATAAAATACAAATAAATTCATGAACCATCTCTATTATTTCAAATTTAAGATTTATTCTCTATTTTTAATATCGTCACTAATCTTTAATTAATTTAGCTGCTTTGTCGACTGATTTTGTATATAGTTTTAAAATACCTTGATATCACGTATTATTGATCACTAAAGCCCTGCGATGTACTTATAAATAACTGGAGCAGTAAAGCGTTATATATTTGATCATGTTTATATTACATTAATAATACTAGTCTAACAACCTTTTTATGATACCCGTGTATGTGTTTACCGAATACGTGTAACATAGTATTATAATCGTGAAAAATTTATTCGAGATCAAGGTAAAACAAATCAAGAAAAATATTAGTCTATCAGTGATATCTCATCTGGATGTCTGCTGTACAAATTGAACTTGTGCGTACATTATTTTGCTAGCTCAGGTTAATTTTACTATTTTGTTGTGGCTTTAGTTCCTCACTAAGCTTTCAACATTTTCGGCAGCTATCTATAAATAATTAATCACTTAACTACTAAAAAGTAATATTAACGCTGGTTCATAAGCAATAGTATTTTGATTACTGTGTCTTAAATGTGAATTTATTGATTGTCACCATGTAAGACTTCTGTATTATACCGCCTATGAATTATAAATTAAAGCTATTTTGAAAAATTTTGAAGCATTATATTGACTTTGTGTAGATATTAAATTGAGCTACGTATAAAAGCAATAAGATATGGGCAGGTGAAAATGCCATTTTCTTACCCAGTTATCATATACCCGCATATCTTAATGGCACACAATATAGGTCTACCCGTATTATTGCCAAAAATTACTGTCGTGGGTTAATTATTTATCAGATCGAGTGTCGCAACCCTCACTTGTGGCAAAGGAAAGTAAAGAACTCTAGTGTAGTTACTTAAAACTTGGGCTATTTCTCCCAGTACTTTCAGTTTCTATGAGAGAAGTATTCGAGAACTCGATTTCTCGGCTGATCTCCACAGACAACTGACTAATTATTACACTATTCTTCACGATATGAGTCTCGCCGTTTCTTGAGCAATTACTAACTTTATTTTACAAACACACGCGCTTAAATAGGTTTCTACAGTGAATTCCAATATTAACGAGTAAGAATGCATGCCTTACAACTTACATTAATTAGTATAATACCATTACTAAATATACATGTCGATATTCTCAGACTTAGATAGCTATAAGCTATCAGGTTTTAAGACGCTTAACCTTCGTCCATATACGGCTCAATTTTTAGAGATTAACACACCTTATAAACCTATAGTAAATTAACTGCTAACAACTTCTATTTTTAACTCATTTCCACCATCCTATTATCAGCTACAAGCGCATTAAACATAGCACATAACCTTATCTTATCTATTCATAAGCATTCATTAATCGACAGTTACTTAATTAGTAACGGCGTACCGTGACATCGAGTAATAAATGACTACTATTTAATGATAATAGAAATATATTGCAGGTTTACATTACGATCAAATGATGTTTGTGGCGTCTAACAATTTTGCTTGGTCCTTTTTCCTATCAATTTAGTATTAAAATTCGATAGTTTCACCTATTGCTTTATATAAATATGGCATTATGTCCAATCCTTAATATTTATGGATCTCTTAACACAAACTAGGAAACAAATTTGGAATTGGCATACCAATGACTATGCAGTACCTTTCTTAACTGTGTAAACAAATATACTGCATATTTTTAACAACTAGTTCAGATACTAACTGATTAACTACCAACTGCAACGACTGATATGCAGTCGTTTCCATACTACGCCACGGATTCCTTATTGATGAGTTCAATCATTTGAAAAAGTGCTAAACAGTAGCGCTGACTATTTACTGTATGGCATGAGTTATTTGATACGTTGGTAACTGCACCGTATGTTCCTATCATCAGTATTTTACATCAAATATATAATTACAGCAGACTAGATTTAATATCTATACCGCATTTTCCTATCATCAGTGTAATACACCAAAGTACATAATTACAGTAGACTAGATTGAATATTATGCAATAGCCCGAAGATAACGTATGTTCCTATCGGTTTACTACACCAAATATATAATTACAACAGACATAGATTCAATATTTATACGATAGTCCATTTTAATATCGTAGATCAATCAAATTTGAATAAATACGCTTCAAATGAATTTATAACTAAGTACGGCTGATAATTAATCAGTATCACCTTTCAATGTTTTCTATTAGAATTTTTATTTTCTGACTTTATCTACGTAACTTATTGATCTTAACTAATATTTTGTTATTTTTGTACTTTCATTGAAAGCAAAATTCTATTACGATTGTATTTGATGCTATAATAGCGGCTATAGCAAACAATGATGGAAATTTTGACTAGAATATATTTCCCCTTAGAATGAGCTATACATTCATCAATGAAGTACAGAGTACTAGCATAAAAACCGTTGTCTTCATATTACACAGTATGACGCATAATTCATATCGGAAAATTTATAGTATATGCATAGGACATTTATGATCTACTTTCAAGCAATATCGTTATTGGGCTATTGTGAGTTAAGCCTAGCAAAATTGGACTCGGTTACTCCTTGATATGAAAATGACCTGTAAATTATTTTATTTATTTTAAATCACTTGATATTGTCTTTATTGACTCATATATACGAAAAATTAATTTATATAAGACGAAGAAAATAGCCCAGCCCTAATTAATTTCTATTAAATAGGTGTGAATGTCGCAATACACGGTAACTTACTTAAAAATATAAGCGATAGTAATGCTGATTCAAGTTGGATGCGAATTAATATATTTTTGGGTGTTTATCATGTATGCTAAAAATATAGTACCAATTTTATTCTTGAGGCAGCGGAAGTTACTATTATGTAATTTTTATTGATTATATTTAGAATGGTTTTATTTTATTCTTCATTAATTACATAGAATAGTATTACCATAAAAATAACAACAACACATAAACTAAAGTACATGGTCCATGTTATAGGTTTTACTGTGTTCATAAACAAAATTTAACTTTTACTGAAAGTGCAATAATGAATTTAAAAACTATAAACAAATTACTGGAAAATCTAAGCCGATAATCCCGAATTGTAAGCCATCTTCGCTTTTATACTACTGCACCCATAAATATAATAGAAATTTTAGAGTATTAATTTTGTTTTAAATAAATAAATTACCTGAAATATTTTTAAATCGGCTGCCAAAAATTGTTTTCACAAAAAAATACAATATTATACAAAAATAAAAAAAACGGTGGTAGGTTAATAGGTTAATGCAAAACTTATTAGCTATTATTATATGCACAAAAAAATATCAAAATTGTCATTTTGAAGTTTAGTATTCAAAAATTCTTCAAGTACATCGATTTAGAATTAATATTAATTAAAAGTGGCATGTAGATTAAAATAAATAAATAATGGAAAATAGAAATTTACTCAACCCCAACTGAAATTAACATGGCAAAAATGGGCCAGCACCTTCAAAATATGCAAGCATGAAATATTGTCAAATAGTAGATGGCGTCGGTAGTAGATTCACATTTTGATTATAAACGAATAAATTGCTTTATTAGTATGAAAGACTAGGTAATCGAGATCAACTGCGGTATATATTAGCATCATTTGCGGAAGAATCGCATTGCTTATAATTTTAATTCCAGTTATTGTTAATGCATAGCTGAGGTAAAGCGATATGAAATTGTTTATCAGATTGATAAAATTCTGAGAAAGCAAAATCAGAATTTGTCCATGAAGTGAGGCTACGTGATTTAATAGTAAATATTAATCATTTATTCTACGGATGTTATAAATGGTAGATTCTGATAAAATAAATTAAAAGATTTACAATAATTGAGGTTCGCTCGATTGATTGTTAAAATTAAATACAAGATAGGCATTATTAGATATATATGTAAAGTCTTGAAAAATTTAATTTTTACTAGGATGCGGTAATATTGTCCTATATCGTATCTGCTACATGAAATATTTGATTAGCCGATTATCTGCATTTTACTATGGAAACAAAGATAATAATAATCGTAAGTTTATAAAGGTGGTACTACGTACTATACTTTATGACGGCTCAGTTAATGAATTATTAAGTTGAACTATTCGTTACTTGCCCTTCTGATATGTACAACAATGTAGAAGTCGAGCCAGTACAGCTGCATACAAACTACAGATAATACCGTAAAATTTGAAAATACGAGCATAACATCTTTGTAAACTTACAGGAGATTAAATGCTTAATCTAGGGATGATTAGTTCCAGGGATGAAATAAATTTAAAGCATTATTGTTAGCTAGTATAACATTAAACGTTAATGGAATTAATGAAAGTTATTGATTTCAAATTTTTCGTTAGAGCAGCAAAACTAGCTTAAATTTAATTGGCGGTTATCAATTGATTTCTTTTCATTCTTAACCGAAAAGAATCGCTTCAATTCTTTTAGAAACCATTGAAAAGTTTAATTTCTTTTCATTGCTATTGTGATTTAATGTTGACAATCCAATATCCAATTCTAGATGAATAAATAGAATTATATGATCTAATTAGAAAAGATAATTAGTATGATATGCGTGTTCAATCTTTACATACGTATAATTCTACATCAAATTAATTATTTAAAATCGATTCTTCTTAGTATTGCAGAATATTAATGCTGATCAAGATCCGGGATAAGTTGCATCTACTAGCTTCCAACAATAGATACGTAGTAATATTTATATTTATTTCCTCAACAACTATTGTTGCAGAGGGAGCTCAGCGTTCGTAAAGTAATTTAAATCATAACCTAGGCTATTGTAATAATCGCAGAATTTATTTTTTGGCTGAAATTCTCGAAATAACGGATGAGTATAGAACAACTTTCGTTTGCTAAATATCCAAACAACATGGATAATTAATATCCTATAAAGTTCACTATTCTTTCAGATTTAGCATCCACAAATATTAA